AATTCTATTTATTTTTTTTCTATCAATTTTAAATATTAAGATTTGGTCATGTTTACAGGGGAATGGGGATACTTTCTGTTACCTGCTCTAACACAGACTTTCTCTTGTATCTTCTCTGTAGGTCTGTTTGGCAGCCGTGGCCGAGGGATGACTGGCCCCGGTCGGGGTCAGCAGCAGCAGCAGCAGCAGTCGGATAAGAAACCAGGAAAACCACAGGGAATGAAGAACCAGCACTGAAGGACGACGCTGCACCTCTGACAACATCCTGTTAATCAGTGATTCTTCCTTCGGCACATGAAGAAAAAAAGTCTCTGTGGTGTGTTTTTTCTGCTGTGATCTTTGTTAGGACTGATTGTCACAGAAATCTCACTGTGAGACGTTAAGAGAAGCCGTGCTTTTGCACTGAATTTTGTTTTTTAACATCTGGAAGTTGATATTAACATTTTTTTATGAAAATGCCAGTGTATCGGCCAGAGCTGGCAGACTCCTCCTTTAGCATCAGTTTGTATATCGTTATAACAAGAACATTTTGTATCATAAACCACATTATCTAAATTCCACTTTGCATCTGTTGGTACACTGGGAAAATGTTTTTACTTTTAGTTTTTGACGGTTGTCTCCTCAGGTGTAGTTTTCATGGTGTAGTGGCCCATCTTCTGTTGCAAGAATACTTTGTTTTCCTCGTTGTTTGTGAAGTTTTGTGGTTTGAGACCTTTCTTCTTTTTTTGTCTGCTTGCTCCGCTGTGGGGTCAGTCACAGCAGGTGAACAGCAGACTGATAACCAGGAGACACAAATTCAGTCCCTGTAAATTAACACTTCTGTTAAAACGTTTGTAAGACAACCAGTTAGGATATACAGACAAAAAGATTCTCATATTCTTAAGTCTGAAATGGATAGAGTCCAACATGTGACGTGTTGGTTGGGTTTCATTTTATTTTTGTAACAAAAGACGATATTGTAATTTATTTACAGGAGAACATGAGAATAAAACAGCTTTTGTTAAAGGAGTTGTAATTATTAAGTACTCATGTCTGAGTCTCAGTTTGCTGTTCAGGGTCTTGTTCAATATTGTGGTGAATTAAGTGGTGCTGATATCAAGCTTTTCTAGTCTGAACAGTCAAAGTGCATTAATTCATACACTGATTTATTCTGTGCCTTTTGGGGCTTTTAAAGTAATGGACACACACACACATTCTGAGCCATAGGTACCACCACCTAGATATATACAGGTGAAACTCTAAAAATTAGAATATCATGCAAAAGTTCATTTAAGTAATTCAACTCAAAAGGTGAAACTAATATATGATATAGACTCAGTACATGCAAAGCAATATATTTCAAGCCTTAATTTGTTATAATTTTGATGATTGTGGCTTATAGTTTATGAAAACCCCAAATTCAGAAGCTCAGAAAATTATAATATTGTAAGAAGGTTTAATGTTGTAGGCTCAAAGTGTCACACTAATCAGTTAATGAATCCAAAACGCCTGCAAAGGCTTCCCGAGCCTTTAATTGTCCATTAGGCTGGTTCAGTTCAGTAGGAATCTCAATCGTGGGGAAAACTGCTGACCTGACAGTTGTGCAGAAAACCATCATTGGCAGCCTCCATAAGGAGGGAAGGTAACAAAAGGTCATTTCAGAAGAAGGTGGATGTTCCCAAAGTGCTGTATCAAAGCCCATTAATAGAAAGTTATGTGGAAGAGAAAGGTGCAAAAGAAAAAGGTGCACAAGCATCAGGGATGACCGCAGCCTGAAGAAGATTGTCAGGGAAAGGCCATTCAAAAGTGTGAAGGACCTTCAGAAGGAGTGGACTGAGGCTGGAGTTAGTGCATCAAGACCTGCCACACAGACACAGATCCTGGACATGGGCTTTGTATTCCTCTTGTCAAGCTGCTCCTAAAGAACAAACAACAGAATCGCCTCACCTGGGCTAAAAGAAAAAAAAGAACTAGTTTGTTGCTCAGTGGTCCAAAGTCCTCTTCTGATGAGAGCAAATTTTGCATCTCATTTGGAAACCAAGGTCCCAGAGTCTGGAGGAAGAATGGGGAGGCACACAATTCAAGATGCTTGAAGTCCAGTGTGAAGTTTCCACAGTCTGTGTTGATTTGGGGAGCTGTGTCGTCTACCGGTGTTGATCTACTGTGCTTTGTTAAGTCCAAAGCCAACGCAGCCGTCTAACAGGACATTTCTTCATGCTTCCTTCCACAGACCAGCTTTATGGAGATGCTGACTTCATTTTCCAGCAGGACTTGGCACCTGCCCACACTGCAAAAGATACCAAAACCTAGTTCAATGACCATGGGGCAACTGTGCTTGATTGGCCAGCAAACTCGCCTGACCTGAACCCCATAGACAATTTATGGGGCATTGCCAAGAGAAAGATGAGAGACATGAGACTGAACAATACATAAGAGCTGAAGGCTGCTATTGAAGCATCCTGGTCTCCCATAACACCTCAGCAGTGCCACAGGCTGATAGCATGCATGCCATGCTGCATCGAGGCAGTAATTCATGCAAAAGGGGCCCAAACCAAGTACTGAGTACATATGTATGATTATACTTTTTAGAGGTCCAAAATTTCTCTCTTTAAAATCCTTGTTTTATTGATTTCATGTAATATTCAAATTTTCCGAGATTTTGAAATTGGGGTTTTCATAAGCTGTAATGATCAACAAAATCATAAAAAGTAAAGGCTTTTAATATCTTGCTTTACATGTAATTAGTCTCTGGCATATATTAGTTTGACCTTTTAAGTTGAATTAGTGAAATAAATGAACTTTTGCATGATATTCTAATTTTTTTGAGTTTCACTTGTATAAAGTAAATACTGAGTCTGTACAATTCTAATAAGCTTGGAAGTCAGTATTTGGTATGATCACCTTTATCCTTCAACACAGCCTGAAATGAACACCATCCACACAGATACAGCAGCCAGGGAAGAAGAAGAATATCATATGAAAAAGGCCCGGAGTAAATGTGGTTATCCTAGCTGGAATTTTGTTGCCTAAGCAGAAACCTCTACTGGTCCCTTATGTGTCAGCAGTATCGGAACAGCTGAGATACATTTACTCTAAACACCACGTCTGCGTGACTTTAAAACCCAAAAACACGCTGCACCAAAAATTAGTTCACCCAAAGATCTGGTCCACTGACACAAACAGAGTAATATAGTGTACGCTGTTAAGTGCCAGGAGGATTGCCATGATTTATACATTGTAGAGACCAAACAACCTCTGGCTAAGTAGATGCCACAACACAGAAGAGCTAACTCGTCAGGCCAGGACTCTGCAGTCTATTTACACCTACAGGCCGGTGGACACTCTTTCAATGATGAAGATGTACACATCCTGGACAGGGAGGAATGCTGGTTTGAGCGTTTGGAGTCAAGGAGGCTATTTACATGAAAAGGGAAAGAGGAGGAGCCGTAGGGATACATCTTTCACCATCTTGCAATGCTGTGATTGGAGACATTCTCCAAATCTATGTGACTCGTATTCATGGCCATTGATCAGTGGTCATTACAATTTGCATGTTAATGATCAGGAAACTGACCTCATAGCCTGGTTGCGGGGGTGGGGGGTGGGGTCTATCCCAGCCATTCTATTGTATCTCTTGCTTCGTGTTTAAGGTCACTGTCTGCTGGAAGGTGAGTCTCCTTCCCAGTCTCAAGTCCTTTGCAGCCTCCAACAGGTTTTCTTCCAGGACCTTCCAGGATTTTCTTCCAGGTTCTTCCAGCTCCATCCATCTTCCCATCATCTCTGACCAGTTTCTCTGTCCCTGTAGAAGGAAAACATCCCCACAGAATGATGTTGCCACCACCATGTTTCACAGTGGGGATGGTGTGTTCAGGGTGATGAGCAGGCAGTGTTACTTTTGCTCCTCACGTAGCGCTTTGTATTTAGGCCCAACTTTAGTCTTATCTGACCAGAGCACCTTCTTCCACACAGTTGCTGTGTCCCCTTCATGTCTCCTGGCAAACTGCAAAAGGCACTTTTTATGTATATAAATGTATATATGTATATAAACTGTATATAAATGCCACTTGTTTTGCACATATTCAACTCTGTATATTTTATATATTTTATTATTATTATTATTATTATTATTATTATTTTATTTATTTATTTATTTATTTATTTTTTTTACTATTTAATTTGTAAAAATGTGTATACACACACACACACGTAGGAAAATATTTAGTATACACATCCAGAAATGCATATACTATTATATATTGTACATATATTTATTAGTTTCAGGTTGGCCATTCTTGTATTTTGCTCGTTTGTGTTGTTGTGTTTGCACATCTCTGTTGCTTGTGGGGCTCGCACACAAGAATTTCACTCGCATGTGCTGTGCCAGTGTGCCTGCACATGTGATGTGACAATAAACGTGATTTGATTTGATTTATGTATTTCTGTCAACAATGGCTTTTTTCTTGTCGCTCTTCTTTATAGGCCAGATTTGTGGAGTACACGACTTACAGATTCTCCCCACATGAGTTGTGGATTTTTCCAGCTCCTCCAGAGTGACCGTGGGCCTCTTAGAAACTCCTCTGACCAGTGCTTTCCTTGCTCAACCTAACCCTACAACTTTTATCTACATCCATGTCTCCTTTTTGTACCACATAACAATTATGTGCTACTTTGTGTTGGTCAGTCACTGACAATCTCAATCGAAAACATTGAAGTTTGTGGCTGTAAGGTGACAAAATGTTTAAAAGTTGAAGGGGTATGAATTTTTTTCAATGCACTGTAAACAACCATAAAACATAAATATGTTATTGTATTAAAATTTTTAAAAACACTATTGATTTACTCACAATGAATCATAAAATAACCAGATAATCTAAGTCAGACAGTCTCCTAAAGCTGAACAGATTTTTTTTTTCAGAGGGGGTTAATTTTCAATAAGTGACTGAAAATGTGTAACTATGGCAGAAATAATACATTTTAGGTCACATGTGTGTTACAACTACTTCATTGACTATATCAGAGGAAACATTTTCCAATGTACTTTAATCTTTTAGCAGATACACAACAAATAATCAATACAGGATACTTGATATATGTAAGAAAAAATACAATTTTGTCTCTGAGTGCTGGTCAATAGTAAAAATATACTTGATAAAAAAAAAGAAAGCAGAAAAAAAAGAAGAAATGTGTACATAATCCTTCGACATAAAGGGTAAATCAACAAAGTTTCACACTATATGATTGTCAAATTCAACAATGCATTTCTGAATTTTCTAAATAACTCTTAGTAACTTTTTTAGATTGACAAAATGCAACACATGAGCAGGTGGCTCATATCGAAGAAATAATGCACTTGTTTTATCTGCCTTGCTGTGTATCATTGTTTTTGTTGAGCCTCAGTGTTATTTTTAAATTTTCAAATCCAAGTATTAGAGAAAACAGATAAAATGTAAAATATTGACTTTTTATATTGATGCAAACAAAAAGTATTTGACACTGTTAGTAAAATGTAAAAATAAAACTATCAATCTTTAATTTCTTTACTAGTTTATGTTTAAATCATAATTTGTTCTTTAGCTGTAAAATAAATGCAAGAATAATGCTAAAACAAACCATAAAAACAATGAATCATCATCAATTTTCTCAGTAAAGGAATGAAAAATTAAAAAAAATAATACAAACATAGAAGAGTAAAACCTGTTGGTTTATAAAGACAAAAAATAAAAATGATAAACTCATCCAGTTTATCTCCTTACATACTTCATGTTTGATGAAGTTGCTTAACACACAAAAATAAAAAAAACAAAACAAAAAAAACTTTCCGCCACAGATAAATAGAAATGATCTCATTACTGCAAATCAAATGTTTTGTTTAAATGAACGTATTCAAGTCACTTTTATGCAAATGAACATTTATAATTTTTTAACATGTAAGAAAAAATGGAAAATGTGCAGTTTTCGTACTAGTTTATCAATCTATCCTGTTGTTACTTCACCCTAAAAGATTTCACCTTAAAACAAAAACATAATCATGTAAAAATGATATATAAAATATATCAAAGCAGTCATACTGTATATACTCTCACAGTGAATACATGAGCAGCTCACTGAGGATGTGCTTGAGTTTATTCTGCTTTGCTGTTTCATTGTATTCACAGAGGTTAAAGGTAATTTCTAATCTTTATTATAAACGAATCAAGACAAACATCAACAAGACCATAAACAAATAAAAGAGTTCAAAAAAGTAGTATGACTTAAAGTTAAATGATAAACTAAGATCTCTGGTTCAATTCAATTCGATTTAATTCAATTTTATTTATATAGCGCCAAATCACAACAAAAGTCGCCTCGAGGCGGTTCAACACACGTCATAGAAATCTGATAACTCAAGCTATTAAATGAAAAAAAAAAAAAACATAAAAAATTAGCAAATCTCAACTTTTACACAAATGCAAATAAAAACTTAGAGAATTAAAAAATATAAGAAAAATTTTATATGAATGAAAAAGTAGAAAATGCTCAGTATACCATTCCCTTGCATATTTATGAACGAACCACGCACATTTACATTGGATTACACGATTTTGCTTTTTTCTATGCGTATCAATCACCTATTGCTTTAATTTCTTATTAAATGGAGAAATATTATTCACTCCTTGCAGCATGATAATATTACTCTTCTTTTTAAAATTCAAACCATTCGCAAGAGAAGTAAAATAAAATGAAAAATAAAATATTAAAATGTAAATATAGTTTTTGGTTGTTGAATTGAATTTGTAAAATAATTCCAAAAACAAATTAACAGCACAACACGTCCTATGATTATTACATCAATAAATGCAGAAAAAATACCTTTGTTTACTTCTTTAGATAACTAATATCTCTCTATGCACTCATTCAGTTGATCACTCATTCATCAACTCCTGTTTGGCTGTGATGGTGTATTTCCAGGTCTCAATTATCTGAGACAGCTTCACCTTTTCAGAGAGGTTTTCCTCCACGTAAGTAGGGACTTCTACTTCTTTACGATCCATGTAGGCACTGACCGCCTCCTTCAGACTGTCAAAAGAAAGAATATATTCATTTAATAGATAACTTTACATTGGAGCAAATAATTTTTTACTTAGCAGGAAAACTAAAAACATATTATAATAAAGACACACTTTTGGTATAGACAAGGCCAAACGATGGGGCACTATAGTGATGTGGAATAAAATATGCATAAAAACTCAAAAGTAATTGGACAAAGACCTTTTTAAGATAGCTTTGCCTCTGTACGCCATTGCAGTTGATTTTAAATGGAAAATTTAAGACTTGATGGAAGTGCAGATTTTTTTTTAACTGTTTAGGAATTACAGTCATTTTTATACACAGTCACACATTTTCAGAGACTTAATTGAAAATTAATTAGACAAACTAACACAGTTTTAAATATAAATAATTTTAAGTTTTTAATACTTAGATGAAAATCTTTTGTTTCATTCTGACTAATCTATAACTTTATGCATATCTTTGCATCTCTGAGATCACTCTTATATATCCATATTTTGGCTACACAGGATCATCTGCAGTGACTGTGAGGCTTAGGATGCAAATCGTTCTTCACACCTGCTAAATCAGGGCCAAAAACAACCCTGGCATTACCAAACAAAAATTTGGTACTATACAACAGGTTTACCTCCATGATGGATTGTAGTCCTCAGTTGCCCGTAGGCGGCCCAGGCGCAACAAGAGGAACTCATGCATCTCAAGCAGCCACTGGTCCATGTTTCCTCTGGACATGAATCCTTTCAGCTCAGTCTTGTTTTCCTCAGTCAGTGGCACCTGGTACTCGGCTGGATACCCCGAAAAGGGCTCCTTTTTAACAAGACATGCAAGCATGCATTTTGTATGTATACAGTAGATGGATTGGCATATATGGTTAATGGTCATACTGACCATTTAGTGATTTTTTTAGTACAAGCCACATTCATTTAATCTAACACTGAAGCTAAGCTTCAAAACTTACAATTTATGTATCCTCAGTGAAAAATAAGCATATGATGTTTAATCTGGCAATTTTGAATCTGAAAAAAAAAAATACAGCAAAAATCAAACTTACCCTTTTCAGTTGCAGCATTTTTTCAGATCTGAGAGAGGACAGGACTTGCCACAGACAAACACAGTGTCTGAGGTGACATTTGCCAAAAGCCTGCAAAAAAGTGAAAACCCCTCAACAACTTATAAACAGTTTGTTCTATCTGGTTTTTGTCTTATTATTAATATTGATGTTTGACATGTGAGGCTCAGAGTGAGAGAGTGTACATGTAATGACCTTCAGTATGTGCTGATTAATGTTTTGGTCCATCTTTAGTATTTCCTGAAGGTAAGTGACCAGTTTCATTTTGGGATCACCACCAGTCATTGAGAGATAACCCAGAAGCAGCTCCACAATCTTCAGTGCTTCACACACCTCGCTGTAAGAGTCCAGCTGTCTCGACACAGTATTCTGTGCCATAGATGTCAGAACACTCTGATAGAGAAACAAAAATATTAGCGAACCTCAAAGACACAAGTTATGTAAATCCCTTTATTGCTGTGTGCATGCACATGTACATAAATATCAAATGTAAAGCTTGAGTAGTACTTTTAAGTCAAATACAGCTGGATGAATGTCAGGAGTATTGCTTTATTTGCTGTAACTATTAGGCCTGAAATAAATCTGTGATTTGGTGAAAAACAAGAATTTAATCTGGTATAACTGTAATAATCCATTACTATCTAAAGTCCACATATCATGTGTCAGTGCTTTTGCTGTTAACTGGTACTGTTAGTTATTGACTCAGCACAAACCAAGTGAAAATAAATTTGTTGTTTAACCTGGAAATTTTGTACCTTAAATATGTATTTTGGGTTTTACACATAGACAGCTATAATCATGTAGGGTTGTAAAGTACATCAAAGTGTAGTGATAACTTGCTAACGCAGTACTGTACCTGTGGCACTTTTCCATGAACAGTTTTGAAAATGGTCTCATAGTCTCTCTCTTGCATATTGACCAGCGTGGGAATTCCCTTAATAAAACACAGGGGGTTTAGTGAAGGGGTTTGGTTTAGGGATCACAAAAAAGCAGTTTTAAACAGAATGGTTTTGAGCTTGGATTTCAAAAGTGGTGAATCAATATAAACACATAGATATTACTGCAAAATAAGTATGACCACACAGAACAGATACAATATGAGAACTCAAATGATGAAGTTAACCAGCACAATAAATAAAATCTCTGTAGTGAAGTGGTCTACACATTTGATTACACTATTTGTTTGTTTAACAATGTGCTGCACAGAGGTCTTTACACCCACATCTACATGCTGTAGCAATTCCTGTGATAAAAATTTGGAATAAACAATAATAGCTTAGTCTTGCTTGTGTTTGTATTGTTTTTAGTTCAGCTTCAGCTTGCTCCCTGCCATCTGTTATGACCAGTGTTGGGTAAGTTACTTTAAAATAGTAACTTAGTTACATTACTAGTTACTTCTCTCAAAAGTAACTCAGTTACTTCAAGTTACTCGTTACTTTCAAAGTAACTAGTTACTAGGGAAAGTAACTTTGGTTTTACTCAGAATTCTCTTGTTAATGTGTTGCTTCCATAACTTTGCCAGTCTTCTAGCTTGCTTACTTGCCACAAGTGCACTGTGCCACCTACCAATAGAAAGGAAAAGATAATGTGCATATTTCCACGAGAGAAATCCCACGCCTGGACCGTCATTGACTGCTGCCATGATTCTAGCCTACGTCACAGTGTCATCTGCGCCTTTTACATCCAACACAAAAACTGCAGTCGTGGTGCTTTCGATTGTACTCAGAACTCGGAAATTCTGCCTTCCGAATAGGAAGATGTAGGCAACACCAGACTGCAGATGAGCTGCATACAGGGCTGGACTGGGACAAAAAAATCATCCCGGGCATTTTGACTAGAGACTGGCCCACCATTATAGGAAAAATCATAAAGCCTTTGAATGAAAACAAACGCTGTTGTGACAGTGATGTACACTGTCTGATGGTATATATGCATCAATCTATCAATCGTTTGTTGTAAGACTCAGATAATTATTTTTTAAAAGCTAGACATTTTAAATGAGAATAAGAAAGAAAAGTATTTCTTTGTGCCCCCCTTTCCCTGTTAATGCCCTACCTGCCCCCCTGGCAACACTTTGCTAGACCCGCCCCTGCACAGTTACCAGCTGTCAGCTACTTAGAAAAGGATCCTGGTGTTATGTGTCTCTCAGAAACAGTTCATAACTTCCCTTCAACTCATTCATGTCACCTAAAAGGTAAACCTGTTTCTCCATCACCTGTTCAGCTCTGATGATCCAGTAAGGACATCTCCTGGTTTCATCTTCATGTTTCCCTCTCACCACATAACCAAACCATATCATGACCAGCAGCTTTTTTGCAGCTGTGGCTCCAGCAAACATCAGCTGATACTAGAAATTAATATTAAATAAATTCTAACAACAGCTGATCAAGCTTAAACGTGCTGCTGTTGTTTAGCGCGACATCCGCTGGTTTCCTCTTTCGGCGCAAAGTGGGCGATAAACACACAAGAGAGAAAAGACGATCAGCTGATCATTGATCAGTTTTCATGATTGAAGTAGAAACGGGAGAGGGAGGGGAGAGAATGAGAGAAGAAGAGGCAGCTGTGCAACGTAAAGACACAGAATAACTCCAGCTTTGTGCCTTTTTCATTGTAGCTGAATTACGGGACAAACTGTTCCTTTTCACCTCAATAAGAAACGCGTAATATTTTCTCTGAATACCAGACGGGACGGTTGGCAACTCTAATAACTTATGAACAAAATAAAGTTCAACATCATTAACTTCATAGCACCCACCCAGCTGTATAGAAACTCCGTCATGCTAGCTAGCACGCAGTACGGAAAAAGTCAGAATAACGAAAATAAACTCCACCTAAACTTGGTTCATATCTGACCCAGAGAGACTGCAGGTCATAACTTCTTACCTGAAGTTCAGTTCACACTTGGACCGGCGGCCGCCTCGGGTCTCTTTTCCTTCTGCGTCCCTTTTCCTTCATCCACCTGCTGGCCTCCACCACTTGCTAATGTTACTGAATCTGTGGAAGCTCCGCGATAGCCACCACACGAAGTAACGAGTAACGACCCTATCTAAATCCCAGTAACGAGTAACGCGTTCCTGATTTTGGCATAATAACTAGTTACCGTGCTCGTTACCACAATAATAACGTAGTTACTGTAACGCGTTACTTAATAACGCGTTAGTCCCAACACTGGTTATGACAGAAGTTTAACAGAAAGTGAACTTCCTTCTCATTTGTGCTTTTTAGATTTCAGTATGTTGAATCATGCAAAAAATAAAAACAAATAAATATACACTAAGGGTGTTGCATGACCACCTTCAAAGATTCATTCTGAGCTTGAAAGATCCCTGAAGGTAATGCACAATCCAGTCAACACCAGATCGTACAGTAGTTAGGAATTTGGGTCATTTAAGGTGTGGGACACATGTTTTAACCAAACCAGGCTGTGTGGACTCACTGCGCGGGTAATGAGAGGTTTTCCCTGCAGAAAGCGGGTGAGGATCTGCTGTTGGATCCTGGGCAGGTCATACTCAGATATTGTCTCGTGGCCACGTTCCAAGCTGTACTGGCAGTTGGACAAAACCAGAGGAAGCAGATCCTTCTCCACATCATAGCTGATCACATGCTGCTCCATTAGCTCCATCAGACTCACTGTGTAGTCACTGCAGACATCACAATGTAGATATAAAGTTTAATCTTCCAACATTTCTTTTCCAAATAATTTTGAATAAATGTTGGTCTAGAATGAAGAAAAATTTTTGTTGAGAACAAAACTGAACTGTATTATATTTACAATATATAATGTATCAATAGCATCGGTTATGTCGCTCTGGGTATCTATGTCAAGCTCCCAGGTGAAAGAAAGGATTTTTAATACTAACACCCCTGAATGATGCTCATTTGACTCACCTAACTTAAGACTATTGACGTTTCACTTGAACTTCAGGTAGAAAATAGATAGGTAGAAATAAAATGCAGAATAAATGGTACAACAGGTACAGAATAAAGTACCTGCTGTCCTCTCGTGTGTGACGGTCCACTGCATTCACCAACTCATTGTGGAGAGTCACCAGATAGCTGACCAGCCCTGTGGCACACAGGCCTGGACCCTGCCGACGGGGCAGGAGGTACCTGAGGTCACTGTCCAGGTCCAAATCCCTGCTGCAAAATTCTTCTGGAATTTTTATTTCATCTATAGTTTTGAAAGGACAGATAAATAATTCCTTATTTGTAATACAGCTTTTTCCATTACTTTGACTTATGTGGTATATACACAAAAACATCAATTATTGTACTCGACTGTAGCAGACAAAATGATGACTATTGTCATGTAGAGTACACTGTAAATGTATGTTCTCACAGGGCAACTGAAATCAATCAAGAACTGCACTGTTCTTTTAAGTTAAATTGAAGACATGTTATTCATTTATTTATCTTTTTAATTTCAACACAATGCACAGAACAAAATAGTTTAAGGAGAGACAAGAAAATATGTAATAACATAAACAGATTGAATGTGAAGGTGAGACAAAGAGCAGGTTAGTGCTTTACTTACTGCTGGTGACAGAAACTCTTAGCTGATTCCATGTTTTCAAGAAGGTCTCAATGTGTTTTTGATACCATGGGCTCATGTCTGGAACAAATAATTTAGAAACAGTGACTAAAAACTTAAAAAAAGACAAAAGGCAAAGAAACAGTGACTACATTTTTATGACATGAAATGAAACAGAGAGAAAAAAATATGTCAGTTGTCCCTGCAGCAAATATTAACTTTGGTGATAGATTTTGTTTTTGATTTCCAAATGAATACAAATTAGTACAACAGTCAATTGTTCAAGTTTAAGTCCATCTAATCTCTGTACCTGTTTGCTGATCAATGAATTCTCTGATGGAGCCCACAATATCTTCAGTTGCATTTTGGTACTTTCTCACCAAACGTTTCTGCAGGTTTAGGATTTCTGGGAGGAATTTGATAAGCCGAAATTCTCTCTCCTGAAAAAAGAAGTTTAGATAAATGGCTATCACATCTTTGGTCATTTCTAATTCTGTTACTGAGAATATTGACCCACTTATTGAAACTTTAAAGAGTAATTTATTATGATTTTATATATAGAATGTCAGGATAATACATGTTGCAAAGTAATATTGTAGTTTAATCAAATCTATAGATTTCACAGGTTTGGCTAATCTGTAATTCCAAATTAGCAGCAGGCACAAATGATTGCATGTCTTTATATGCCAATTTGGGCTTGTAGTCTGAAGTCAAGCTACATGTCAGCCCTGTGATTGGATTGTGAACTGCCCAGAACTGACCCCACCTTTCTATCAGTGTTAGATACTGGTGACCCTCTATAAGTAAAACTTTTAGTGCACACAGGAAATAATAGTAATAATCAATAATATTTCTAAAATAGTTTTAGAAACAACATTATTATGAATAATGGGATTCAAATTGGAAAAAAGAAATCAAAGCAGTGAAAGAGCTCAACTACAGAAAAATCAAAAGTCATAATATATAAGGACAAATTTGACATTTAGTCTAAATGTAGCCCTGGCTATATAAATAGTTCATTTATTTTGATGGTTGAATGTAAATGTTATGTGTGTTTAAGAATGAATACAAATGTGTGTTAATTAGATGCACAGCGTTCTTATTTGCATTTTGAGGTGTATGTCATTATTTTCTGTAATGGTATTGGTATGTACTACAGTTCCGGGCCAATCCTGAAGTAGTCTCAGGTAGAGTGGGTTGGAGTAAGTGGGGAGCCGTGTTCACTCCGCGGAAAGAGAGAGGAGAGATGAGGAACAGTGTCATGTGGACGCAGAGTTCATGGGAAGGTGACAAACTTTTATTTTCAGGTTGACGATCAGTGTGAAAGCTGTAGTACCCTACTGTGAGGTAAATATGAATCTGTGAGTTGTGTTTGAAACTCATATATTTACTCATATATTTAGCAAATGGTAATATTGCAGTATGTAATAGTATGTAAATCAGCATTTAGCTGGGTTATTTGATTTGGTAGGAGGAGACAGAGCTCTTGCTGGCATGCCAGAGAGGTCCCTTTTGTTGTGCTTATGTGTTAACGTGGGAACACGTGGATACGGTAACTGCGAGTGCTGCTGCCGCGCCCTGCTAGTGGCCTTGACCCAGTTTCCCCCGCTATCCCCTTGAACTGCCTGGAGGTGTGAGTACTATTGTTTGCACGTGCTTTTTATTTTAGTGCTTGGCAACAAGTGAAGCGGCCAAGTTGTTTTAGGTCCCAATGCACCCGAGCCACGACTCAGGCCTGCAATGAGGTGTTTGTTAACACAGAAAGACTGTTGCAGTTAAGGAGTGTGTGTGGGCCCACCATATTATTTAATCATTTGGTTACAGTTGATATTAGATACCTAACCATTGCTCGACAACTTTATTAATGTTACTTATTTTCTTTTGTTTTTTAGAAGTATTTTATAATTGACCTGCTTGTGTCTGGTTTATTTCCATATAGTCTATTTTATTGCACAATTCATGTCACAAACATCAAAATGGGAGTATCAGTAGTAAAGACCCCTCTCAATAGAACGTGGGGCGGGTGTTACATAAAGGTTGCACAAAAGGAAAATTTCAGGATTGTTAGAAATGCACAAGAGCAGTGAATTCCAAATAATTTTGTGAAAGCTTTACATCTGTGAGACACACACCTTCTGCAGGAACCTCCAGAGCAGGGGGAGCTCCTCCTTTTGATTATTCGTCTCCATAATGTGTGTGAGGCTGAGCAACAACAGCCTCTCCCTGCAGCTCCACACTGCTGAGCTGTCGACCTCAGAGCAATGTTGCAGTGGGGTGAGGAAGTTAAAGTCCTCACCGTGGATTGTTCTTATGATGAAGTTGGAAGATACACGGGAGTCATTTCTGATGGTTCCCTTTGCCTCTTGTAGGAGTTGGTCAAGATCCTGGACACAAAATATTGGTAAAGGCAGTTATGTACAAATAAGACTGAAAAAATATCAGTTATAAAATGAAAAAAGTCAAAACATGTAAATAGTGATTTTAAAGAATTACCATCAGCTTTGGTGTCATAATATCTGTCGCCACAGTAGTCTCCCAGGTGTTTCTGGATTCTTTGGTTGTAAGGTAAGGGTCGATAGTAGCTAGAAAAAACATTTACATAGCCATTGGTTAAACAGTCAAATACCAGTTTCCATATTTGTTGACATTTAATCCTCACGAACAATTCCTGTCTATGGAGGTCTGCTTTATTCAAATTATTATTAAGTTTCTTTTCACAGTCTTTTGTCCTGCCATGTATGTCCTTTAACAAATGGCTTCCTTACAGTTACTGGCATGTGGTAGTTCTTGAAGTGATTTGAGCACCAAGTGAACAGATGTTACGTTGTCGTCAGCTCCTTTTCCCAGTGCCTGGGACAGATGCTCAAGATCCTTTGTTATGTGCAACCTGAGAAACAAACTGACATCCTCCACAGGTGGCTGGATTATCTGTTGGACAACCTGAAAAAAAAAAACAGTGGATAATAGCATCATACTACATGCAAGACAGCAACATCGTTCATTGAGTTGAACTATTTTGCAGAATATTAATCAGTGAACTACACACAACCTAAAACAATGCTAGTCTCACCAAGTCACCAAAAGCTGCTTAAATATTACAGCTACTGTACAAAATAGCTTTAGATACTTTATTTATGATGGTTAAGAGCCTCTAAATTAGAGCTCACCTCAGGTTTCTCTGAGGCTCCCAGCATCATGGCCAAATGTGTAACCAACCTGACCAGAGTAAAGGGAGTCAGAGACATGTGTTTGGTGTCTAAAGCATCTGGGTTGTTTCTCCGTTCAGGGTCTCCCAGAATGTGACCGGGACGTGTTTGATCCCTAAAACAACAGATTTGCATGAGTAAAAAGTAGAGTAGGTCTCCCCCCAGTGCAAAACAGGTGACCTTTAGAAGCGCAAGCACACATGTGAAAGTTAATATAATATTACCCTTGTGCTGCTTTTAGAAAATTTAATTTTGACAATTAGTTCACAAGGTTATACTATGCATAAAATATGTATTGTTTTTAAGAGTATACTTGAAGTACAGCCATAACAAGACAAATAAACCCACTCTAACAAAAACAGACCAAACTGCTGCCGTTCTAAAACAAACTGAACTCTGCTTCTTATATTACACACGCAGCATCTACAATCTCAAAAGAAATAATCTCTGGAAGAAAAACCAGCAAACACAGCTAACAAAGAAATTAAAGAAAAAAAAACTGTATTGTATACAACAAACAAAAAAGTATTCTGACTGACATTTTGTCTTTGAAGATATGTGTTACTCTTTCTTTGTGGAAAATTTGATATCACTATGTGACAGCCTCTTTTTAATACATACTGGTTGTGAATACTAACCAGTTTTTCTGCAGTATCCATGAAAAAAAATCTGAACTCATTCTTTACAGTTTTTTTTTTAAACTAAACCTTTCCAACACAATGAATACACAGAGTATGTAATGGTACTGGGTCTGTGACCCAGGGTTTTGTGTGTTTTATTTTTATTTTTTGATTATTGTTATTTTCTCAGTGTTTCCTGGTTTATTTTGAAACAGTCTTTGTGTCTTTGTCATTGTGTTTAGTGTCATTTCCCCTGTGGCGTCATTATGTTTATTCTAGTTGGCTGCTTCCCCATGTGTTTCCACTTCCCCTCATCACCTCCTGTGTGCATTTAAGTCCTCTGTTTTCCTTTGTTCATTGTCAGGTCATCTGTTTATTCCACATCATAGTTCTCACAGTCTTCATAGTTTTTATAGTTAGTTTTCCAGTTTAGTTGTCATACCTGTTTTGCCTTAGCTTTTGTGTTTTCTCCTTTCATCAGCCCAAGTAAAGTCTCGCTTTTGTTTAAAGATTCCTTTCTCAGTGTCTGCTTTTTGGTCCATTCTCAAAAGACATCGCCGTGACAGAGCAATTCAATGATATCAAACTACTGGTCGGAATCGTCTCGTCAGAATTTTCTGTTCACGGTGCAGTCTCATTGTTAAACTTTTTAAATGCACAAAAATGAAAACTTATAAGTTTAAAAAATTGACAATGGGAATTTAGTTTATTTTACTTCACAAAATAAAGGATAATATTGATTTTTAAAAAACAAAACCACTAGCATAACAAATGTGCTTCTTTTAACAGATTTACCAATAAAAAAACCCAAACTTGAATGATTTCTGTCGTTCATATTTTATACAAGAGAAAGTTTTGTACAAAATCAGTTTATCTGCATTTTTGATGGTTCCCTCGTGCGAAATACCAGAATAATTTCTTTTTAATATTCCAGTATTGTTTTAATAGACAGCACAAATTATATAGCAATTTTTTTCTACAAAGTTTTACTTTATCAGTAAAGAGATTTATTTAATGCAGTATTTTGCTTTACAATTACTGACACTCACTCATGCAACTGAACTTTTGTGAATCCAGGCACGACTGCGTAATGTTCTCCTCCAACTTCTTCACCACACTCCAGACATCGGCCTCTCTCTATGGGCCGGCCGCACTGCAGTGCAAGATTAAACATACAGTATAATTATAAAACATCGAGTCTGTAATAATTGTGAAGAATATATTAACTGGAACAGCAAAAAAATGGCTTACCATATCAACACAGCATGGGTGATTATTTGGACAGACTGTGAAAAAGACATAATATAGATTAATCTGTGAATTTATGGTCAGGTTTATGCAAATTACTCCTGAACCAAGTCTGCCATCTTGGTAAAACATCTGACCAATCTATATTAACTTTTATTCAATGGTCAGCAAAAATGACCAGGTAAATCTTAAAAACTAAATCTCTAGTGAATTTGCCCCATAATGAAGCTTTTTAAAAGCTTTGTGTCCCCTGGAAGTGCTATTGGTCGATTGTGGCTCAAGAGTTTGGAGTTTGCCTTGTAATCGGAAGGTTGCTGGTTCGAGCCCCGGCTTGGACAGTCTCGGTTGTTGTGTCCTTGGGCAAGACACTTCACCCGTTACCTACTGGTGGTGGTCAGAGAGCCTGGTGGCGCCAGTGTCCGGCAGCCTCGCCTCTGTCAGTGCGCCCCAGGGTGGCTGTGGCTACAATGTAGCTTGCCATCACCAGTGTGTGAATGGGTAGATGACTGAATGTGTAAAGCGCTTTGGGGTCCTTAGGGACTAGTAAAGCGCTATACAAATACAGGCCATTAACCTTTTGGTGGAGCAGAATTCTACCAAAGATTTCAATTCAGGGTTGTTTTGGGTGCCATATCTCTTTTTCATAATGTCTTTCAAATCATTTAAGGTTTAGCTATGTTACACCCCGGCCTAGGCAACCGGGGTGCAACGTAGAAAAACAAAGATAAGGTGGAGGGCCTTCGTGGTTTTATTTTCCGTATCTTTGTGTTTCTACGTTGCACCCCGGTTGCCTAGGCCGGGGTGTAACATATGGGGGCTCGTCCAATCGCTGGAGGGTCCGAGGGCCGCTTCAGCCTCCGTCTGTCTTCGCTGGAGGGCCCGGGGACCGCTTCAGCCGTCCGCCGTCGCTGGAGGGTCCGAGGGAGGGACCGCTTCAGCCGTCTGTCTTCGCTGGAGGGTCCGCGGGCCGGTCCAGCCTTCATCCGCCTTCGCTGGAGGGTCCGAGGGACCGCCCCGGCCTTCGTCGTCTGCTGGAGGGTCCGAGGGACTGCTCCAGCCTTCATCCGCCTTCGCTGGAGGGTCCGGGGAACCGCTCCAGCCTTCTGCAGCTGGTGGGCTGCGTGTCCGTGTTTGCAGCTGGTGGGCTGCGTGTCCGTGTTTGCAGCTGGTGGGCTGCTCGTCTTCGCTGGAGGATCCGGGGGACCGCTCCAGCCTTCGTTTGTCTGCTGGAGGGTCCGTGGGACTGCTCCAGCCTTCATCCGCCTTCGCTGGAGGGTCCGAGGGACCGCTCCAGCCTTCGTCGTCTGCTGGAGGGTCAGTGGGACCGCTCCAGCCTTCATCATCTTCGTCTGCCTTCGCTTCAGCTGTCCGTCTCCGCTGGGGGGTCCGAGGGACCGCTCCAGCCTTCGTCGTCTGCTGGAGGGTCAGTGGGACCGCTCCAGCCTTCATCAGCTTCGTCTGCCTTCGCTGAGGGGAGGGTCCGTGGGACCGCCCCAGCCTTTGTCGTCGCTGGAGGGTCCGTGGGACCGCTCCAGCCTCCATCCGCCTTCGCTGGAGGGTCCGAGGGACCGCTTCAGCCTTCGTCGTCTGCTGGAGGGTCAGTGGGACCGCTCCAGCCTCCATCAGCTTCGTCTGCCTTCGTTTCAGCCTTCGTTTGTCTGAATCAAACTTTTCACTTGGGGTTACATGTTTGATTTTTGGGTAGGGGGAAATGTTACGTTTCGGTGTTGTCAGTGTTTTGTTTTTGCGTGACTGTCATGTGTTTCCTACTTTATTTTGAAGGTCTGTTGTTATCTTAGTGTGTTCAGTTTACGTTTCCCTGTCTCGTCAGTTCTGATTTGCCCCTGCTGTGTTTCCCTCCTGTTGTCCATTCCCTGATTGCTCCCTCCATGTATTTAAGCCCTGTGTTTCTGTATGTCATGGTCGCGATCTCCCCCGTGTTGTAAATAGTTTGGTGGTTTTTGTTGTAAATAAATAGTCTGTTGTAAATAGTTGTGAATGGGTTTGTTAATACTTTCGTTATGGGATATTTTCGTTTTGGGATTTTGGTGGAGGGCCTTCGTGGTTTTATTTTCCGTATCTTTGTTTTTCTACGTTGCACCCCGGTTGCCTAGGCCGGGGTGTAACAAGCATGATGACTGAAATATAGGTCATCCAAATATTTCCTGGTGAGGAGAGGAAATCCTCTCCTCAATTTGAAAGGTTGTCAAATTGTCAGAATACCCAGTTACAAGAACAGATCATTAAAAATGAATTTACTTGCATATATAAAAGGAGTAATACTTACCATACCAAGTGAGCTGGCCCTCATAATTCATGGCTGCCTGGGCAACAGCTAAAATGTCATCAGGCATTGTGGGTATAAAAGCCCTCTGTAGGTTAAATTAAGTGAAAATCTAATAAATGCCATAAAGGTAACATTAATCTTATCTTGCTGAAGTTATCCATTGCAGAGAGTAAGCAGCACAGATGTATCCTTCTTCTATTTTTGAGTGTTATTGTGTTTGCTGAGTTGTATTCCTGGAGCCAGTAAAGACTAGCTTCACTTTCATCTGCTTCGTTTTAACATCTGCCTTAACTATGACATTATCTCAGAGTATCTGCAATGGGAAAAATATCTAATATGTGGGAGTTGTGATGATTTAATGGTTAATATAAAAAAAAAGATTTTAAATGTGTTGGTCACTGTCCATCCTTGAGCACTATTTTGAAATAACAATTCCCAAAACTGTTTACTTTTTGTAGATAAACCTGACTCCATATTACATAGCTCAAAGGCACATTAGCATACCACTATCTTATCCAAACCTAGTCATTTCTGGAAATAAAACTAAAATCAAGGGTTTGAAATGTGATTCCACAAACTAATGGGTAAAACCATGTGGCTAAATCAATCTTTTATATACAATCACACTGTTTACCTGCATATTTTCAGGAGACAGGCCAATGTTTTTCAGTGGCATCAGCAGAGGGTGACTCCCTGTGAGCAGCACAGCTGCCAGATGAATGATCAGCTCGATAACAGTGTTTTCCTCAATGGTATTACCAGGTTGGATGGTAAGAGCTCCCAGTCTGTTATAAATCAATGCTGACGCAAAGTTTCTTACTTCTCTTTGGGGCAGGTATCTTGAGCCGTTAATGAGGTCATCAAATCCATTACATTGCTGTTGGGGATACAGAAAACATCTAAGAGAAGCAACACACTTTTTTTTTTTTTTACTGTGTAACAGTATTAATAATAATAAATGTCTCTCTGTGCAAAATGGGTTTAAAAACATAAACAACTGTGGGATACTGTTTGTCCATGATTTGAACTGGGGAATAAATTGTGGCAGGGTAAGCCTGATATCCTGATATTTGTATCCCACTGTATTTTTTTTTATATATATAAAGAGCTAATATCACCAAAATTTCATTATAAGAAGTGTTTGTGAACTAAAAATCAATAATTTGGGATGCTGTTTGTCCGTGATTTGGACAGCCCAGTGTGTGGTCCTGACGCAGGGGAAACAAATTCTGTTGGGGAGACCTACCTTGGCACCGCTGTTGTGCAGGTGAAGCCAAAGACAAGATATGTTTCATCATATTTTCTATTCTTTGGTTTTGAAGGAAGTTGGTTTGTAAGCAAATTTGGCGATGCTTCATTCTCTGCTTTGCATTTGTGTGGGAGCCCCGTCAAAAATCCGTCCATATGCTAGTAGTGTGCGAGCATCCTTTTTTTTAAAATTCTTACTGCGCCCCCACTTTGGCAACCTCTGCCTTAATACATTAGCAAGGCAATCTGTGATATAATAGTCTAACTAGCTGTAGATATTGACAGTTAACCATATCATACACAGATCAAGCCCTCTAATTTAGCATTTTTTAAATTAATATTTTAATACGCTTTATGATAAATCAAGATGTAGGCCAGTGTTTTAGCTTGATACCACTGTTTATCCGATGGCATGCCATATCTGGCTCGATTGTGGTTTGGGTTAAGTGGCCCAGGCTCATAGAAAACAGGTCTGGCCCGGATCTGGCATCAAGCTGGCACTTCTGACTGACTGGTGTCATGGCAGAGTGTATGTTACGGTCCTAGCTGGGCCTCCTGAAACTGCCCTTGTGTGGGTGTGGTGTTTTCTCTCTGCCTCTTCCTCTCTTGCTCCACCCCTCTGTCTCTCTCTTGCTCTTCTCTCTCCCCAGGTCACAGCTGCTGCTCCATGGCCTCATTTACCACCTGGGCCCAGTCAGCAATCACCTGCCTGAGGTTATATAAGCTGGGGTTGAACTGGATGTATGAGGGTGGTTTTCTCTGGTGTCTCCGCTTTGTGGTCTAGATGTGTGATTGTCCTGCCTGTGGTGTGGAGTTGTGGAAGGAGTGTGCAGTGTAGCTGCTACATGTGAGTAGTGTGGGCTTGTGGGCCTCGGCAGCAGTAAAGTTAGCTGCTGCTAGTGACAGGGTGAGCTTGTGGGCCCCTGGAAGTGCCTCCTTGTGGTGTGGAGTTTGTTTGGTTGTTGTGTTCTTTGTTGTTGCAACCTTTTTCTTTTTCTAGTGTTATTGGTAAAACGGTGTTGCCGGCTCTTTATGTTAAGATTATCTATAATTAAAAACTATTTTATTTACTAAACACCTCTGTCTGTTCTCCTTTCATTCTGTTATGGACTCATTTGTTACCAGTCCCCATACACACCCCTAGACCTTCATTATGGGGAGGTAACAGTGCATGTCAACCAGATGTGGGCCAGGTCTGGCAATGATGGTACTTTTTATGTTCCTATTTTAGTTAGAAGACACAAATGCCATGTTGCAATACTATACTGCTATGGTGGCCAATGTTTTAAACGCAGGTTTGTGAGTGTACACTTTATCCAAAACCTAGTGAGAGTTTACTCATGTTTACCAATGGGATTTGGGATTTTATTCATGAGTGATGTTAAGGTGGAGTGCAACTTGGACCGGCAGATTGGTGTAGCCTCAGCAGTAATGCACTGTACCAGACTGTTATAGAGAAGAGAGAACCAAGATGTAATTTATCAGTTATCTGCATTCCAGCACTCACCTACGGTCATGAAATCTTGGGAGTGACCAAAAGAACAGGGTCACGAGTACAAATGACCAGTGATGGGAATAACGGCGTTATATGTAACGGTGGCGCTAAGGGGGCAAAACAATCACATGAGTGCTGCTGTTTGGCTGAGGAAGAATAAAGTAGTCCTAGTAAACCAATCACATGACCACTTCAAGATGACAAAGCAACAAGGTGATATATACCAGTTTTTTAATTGTGTTGATGGGCCACGTAAAACCAGAGTCATGATAAACAATATATAAGAGTTGTTTTCTTGAATACTTTCATCACGTTTACTGTGTAAGGGCAGTGCTAGCAAGCACTCTCTACATATGACCAAAAAATAAAACAAAAAACAGCCCTTTCGTGTTGGTGGAAAAATGTACAATGTCAACCAATCAAAAAATGATATGGCAACATGACATTTGGTTGTTTAGCAAGAGGGGGAAGTTTTAGGAGTGAGGGTGAGAAAGAGAGAGACAGAAAGAAAGAGAGCGGAAATGAGAGAGAGCGAGTTTTGAGATGTGAGACATTTGTGACGTTTAGCGTGTTTGGAGTGTGTAGTTAATGTGTTGTCTTGTGTAGTGTAGTGGATAGTTTTGTGTTGTGGGTCAGAACAATGAGGCGACTGCTGAATGTTACAGGTGCTGCCAAAAAGTCACCAAAGGCAGATTACAGTGTAAACGATGTCTCCAGGTAGAAAACAGGAGTGATACACCTGCTGCTGTCAGACCTGCAGGTATCAGGCTGTGATGTTCTCCTTTATAGTGGACAGAAATTATTTTTTGGAGTCGCACAAATAATTTGTGTGGCATCTTATTGAATTCAGAACACCTGATTGTTATGTAAATAGTTTGAAATGGTTAGTTAAAAAAGGGTAAAAGGTAAATGGCTGTAAATAACTTTGTTGTTTGCAAAACTTGTGCATATGATTTTAAAATTTACAATTTATATTTGCATTTAAAGTTATGAAAAACATGTTTGTGGTTGTTACAGTAAAAACTATAACTTTTTCTACTCTGATTTTTACGTTTTTGTCTGATTTTAGATCAGTTTTGCTAATATAGCATGTCAAAATGAAAACATAACTGTAAATTCAGACACATGAGGTTGTGCTGAAAAGGATGATACCAAACAAGGCAAATTAAATAGTTTTTAAAGGTGAAATGTAGAAGGGAAAATCTAAAGTAGTCAAAAATATGCCAATTATATCCTGGACCCCAGAGGGTTAAACTTTTTTTTTTTTTAAAGTAACGCAATAGTTACTTTTCCTAGTAATTAATTACTGTTAGAATCTTGTAACTCACTTACTAACTCAGTTACTTTTTTGAATAAGTAACTAGTGAGTACAATTGCCCAACTTGCCCAACACTGCAAATGACTAAATTACTTTCCTCTGCAAGGTGGCTGGACTCAGATTTAGAGCTAGGATTAGGAATTAAGACATTGGGATAGAGCGTAGAGTAGAGCTGTTTCTTAAAATTATTAATTATTGGATATTATTATTATCCAGATTCTAATTTTGCCACTGTTCATACCTCAGGAGTAGGATGAAGACCCCTGTTTTCAGATCTGTACAGAGTTGTAACCTCTCGGAAAAGAGCCAGCAGGAGAAACACTGTCCGATTCCTTCGTGTAGCCATACATTTCTAGTGTATTTCAAATAAAAACGATAATAAAAATCACAAGTATAAATAAAGATAAAAGTAAAAATGGGCATATAGAGTACAGCACTATGGTGAGTACAATAACTATACAACTAAGCATTTACGGTCTTAGCAGTGATACTGTACAACATCACTTGCAGTGCTCTATGAATAATGAGAAATGTTTCAATAAACTACCCACCCACGGTTTCATCAAAACAATATAACAGTAATAGGTAGCTGAAACATGAAGGAGTGTCCGTAATATATTTATTACAGGACAGAAATACCTCACAGACTTCTTCTATCTGCTCGACATCACCGTCCACTACTGCCTTGGCAACTGCTTCTCGCACGGACTTGTACTCCTCTCCATACACAAGATACTGGTCCATCAGGCCTCCATCTTCATTCTTTTGACACTGTGAATGAAATTACAAAGCAAATGTGTTTAAGTACATAAATTAGACCTGAGTTATTCTGGTGACTATGAATTAGTTAGATAACTGGCATAAGTTGTACACCATGGTTTGTTTCAGTGTTTGTAAATAAAAAGCTACAATCAAAAGGGTTGATGTAAGGCTCTAAAGGGTTGATGTACAATCTTTAATACACTCAACAAAAATATAAACGCAACACCTTTGTTACTGCTCCCATTCCCCATGGGATGGACGTAGAGACCTAAAATTCATTCCAGATACACAATATAACCATCCCTCCCAAACAGTGGTCACAAATCAGTCCAAATGTGTGGTAGTGGGCACATCTGCTATATTGAGATAATCCATCCCACCTCACAGGTGTGCCACATCAGGATGCTGATCTGACATCATGAGTAGTGCACAGGTGTACCTCAGACTGCCCACAACAAAAGGCCACCCTGGAATGTGCAGTTTTTTGCGCTATTGGGGGTCTGGGGACCCAGAACCGGTCAGTATCTGGTGTGACCACCATTTGCCTCATGCAGTGCAACACATCGTCGCATGGAGTCTATCAGATTGTCAATTGTGGCCTGTGGAATGTTGGTCCACTCCACTTCAATGGCTGTGCGAGGTTGTTGGATATTCGTGGGAACTGGTACACGCTGTCGTATACGCCGGTCAAGCACATCCCGAACATGCTCAATGGGTGACATGTCCGGTGAGTATGCTGGCCATGCAAGAACTGGGACATTCTCAGCTGCCATCTGCCCTGAACAATGTGAACCATGATTCATCCGTGAAGCGCACACCTCTCCAACGTGCCAGACGCCATCGAATGTGAGCATTTGCCCACACAAGTCTGTTACGGCAACGAGCTGGAGTCAGGTCAAGACCCCGATGAGGACGACGGGCATGCAGTTGAGCGTCCCTGAGACGGTTTCTGACAGTTTGTGCAGAAATTGTTTGGTTGTGCAAACCAATTGTTCCAGCAGCTGTCTGGGTGGCTGGTCTCAGACGATCTTGGAGGTGAACCTGCTGGATGTGGAGGTCCTGGGCTGGTGGTTACACGAGGTCTGCGGTTGTGAGGCCGGTTGGATGTGCTGCCATATTCTCTGAAACGCCTGTGGAGACGGCTTATGGTTGAGAAATGAACATTCAATGCACGGGCGACAGATCTGGTTGACATTCCTGCTGTCAGCATGCCAATTGCACGCTCCCTCATTGCTTGTGGCATCTGTGGCATTTTGCTGTGAGACAAAACTGCACATTCCAGGGTGGCCTTTTGTTGTGGGCAGTCTGAGGTACACCTGTGCACTACTCATGATGTCTGTGTGGTTTTTTCCCATATTACTAACATGCCAATTTGTTTGTTGTGATTTATTATCAGCCAGACTCATATTTGCTTTAAATGACAAATTTATTTAAGACGGAGTGATTTATCTAAGTCTGGGATGGTATGTGTTAACGGCCGCTCATAGATCCTACCTGCCGGATCTTCTTTTCATTGATATCGCTGTTATGACTGATGAAGCCGAGCTGGTGAGTTTCTGTGTTAACCAAGTAACGTGTTAAAGCTATAAATATGACTATTACTAAACTGTACTGTCATTAATAGTGTTGCTTTGTTAATGTTGTATGGTTGTTTTATTTTGTGTCTTTCAGTTGATTACCTGGCATCTGTAAAGGCACGGTTACTGTACTGGTGTTAGTTTATGGTTGTGGAATAAACTTATAAAAGGCAGCAATCAGATGTCCGAGCCTGAGTACGACACAGTTTCATCAGTTAAAACACACCCTTACGGTGGGAGTTTGCTAAATTAAAGGTAGTTAACCTAGTAAAAACCGTACAGTAATCAACACTTAGCCACCCCCCGCGACGGAGAAGTGGAGGAGGGTCTGTGTCGACTACGGAGAATCCAGCAATTAGACGGAGCCCGGCCGATCGACGTGACTTCGTTCTCAAACACCGTCAAGCCCTCGTACGTGAGAGACTGTGTGTGGATTTCTTTGCTGGGACTATTAGGGCGCTGGCATAGGATAAGCCGGCCGCCGAAAACGAACTTTTAATTCAGTTACTAGCCGCTAAGCGACCGGAAGTGGGTCGCCGCCATCTTTGTTGAGGGCAAAGGAATAACGCCGGTAATAAACAAGAAGGAAAAGTCAGTATGGCATCCCGAGAAGAATTAAAGAAAAGGCGGTCCTCTGCGCAAGCAGTTTTTACTAGGAAAGCCAATTCCATTGCCTTTAACATTGACCTTCTGACTGAACATGACCTCATGTGTGAAAGTAGGACACTCAAAGACAGTTATAGTGAGGTTTGTGATAGCAGTTTTGATTACATCGCTGCTATGGAAGAAGAAGATGCAAGTGGGCTTGCAGCAGAAATAGCTGAGGTGGAGAAGAAGCTGCAGGACTGCCGCTCAAAATACCAGACCACAGAAATGAAGCTAAAGGAAGCGTCATGGTCTCGTTGTGCATCAGGTCAGTTTGACAGTCTAAGAGTTGACCTAAAAGATATGATTAGCCAGGTGGAAGCGCTCAAAACGGGTCAAATAAAACAGGATCAGTTTGATTCAATGCTCCCTGCTGTGGAAGGCCGAGAGGAAGCTCTGAGTGAGTTTGTGCATAAGTGGGATCGTTATGTTCCAGAGAAAGAAGTGAACGTTATGCGAGCTTGTCTCAAAGAGTTCAAGGAAAGGAGGAGAGTGGCTATGGTGATGCTGGCTACCACCCTAGATGGAAGAAGGAGATCTGGGTGTGGCGACCTTAGAAGCAGGACTAGCAGTGAAGGTGAAAGCAGTGATGAAGGTGGCGCTGACGGTGGAGTGACGACCAGCACTAGCAAGCCCAGTGGGCCCGCTGCGACTGGTGGAGATGATGGCCCAGCGCGTGCCAGTGGTGCGCTAGATGCTGACGTGCACCCTGCTGCATGCCAAAGTGCTTCAGTGGGCAGTAGTAACCAGGTCATTGATGAAGGTGGCCCCGATGGAGCACGAGCTGCAAGTCCTTCCATTGCAGCCCTTCAAGCGCCACCACAGGGACCACTATACCAGGGTCTGGGGAGTCCTGTGTTCAACCCTGGCCTCTCAGGCACGCCACAGCAGCTTCGAGGAGTGCATGGTGTGAGACCCAATGGCGCTGGGGCAGGACAGAGCACGTCTACCGTCTCTCAAGGATCACTCGGAACAAGGATCGCACTCGCACCCCTGAGCCTACCAAAGTTCTTTGGGGACAGGAGAAGCTACTGGCGCTGGAAGAGTAACTGGGGGATCCTCCAAGCGTTAGCGGAACCCACAGGTTCCCCGGAGTGCAGGCTCTTCCACCTGATGGACAGTATTGCTGATCCAGTAAAATGTGAACTTAGGCTGTCTCACTGCCGTACAGCGAGTGAGGTTTTCCGAGTTTTAGAGGACTGTTATGGTGACGTATCACAGATAGCAGATGACATTGTACTTGAGCTACAGGAGTTACCGGGCGTGCGCAACAACAAACCCAGAGAGGTTTTACAGTTGATCCAAGCTGTAGAGAGGGCGCTGTTGGACTTAATAGACCTAGGTTGTGAAGATGCCATAAAAAATCAGTTAGTGATCCGGTCACTTGAGAGTAAGCTGCCGGACAGTATGAAAGAAAGGTGGCTTTTGTACCGATGTGATCCTGTCAATGATGTCAGTCCACAGAACCGGTTTGATAAGCTATGGCAGTTCCTGAAAGATCAGAAGACAGTTCTGGTGCAACTGGAGCAGTTGCAATCCATCAGACAGTCTAATACTGCCAGGGCAGCCGATCCGAGCCCCCGCGAGAAACCAAAAGAGAGGCCTGATCGGAGGATAGAGAGACGTTCGTTCACCAAGGCTACTGCGAGCGAGACGAGAGGTGAGCTGTCACAGAATCCTTGCTGTTTGTGTGGCGAAGAGGGTCACACAGGGCGTTTATACCGCTGTAAGACTTTTAAAAAGGCCAACCCGTCAGAGCGGAGAGTTTACGTGAAAAAGACAAAAGTATGTCCCAGGTGTCTGGACTCTCATGGGAGTGATGACCCGTGTAGTAAAAACTTTCTGTGTCGTAATGAAGGATGCAGAAGGGGTGATGCCTCATCGGATCACCATTTCTTCCTGTGTCTTAAGATCCCAACTAGGAAAGATGCAGCTAGGCAAGGGATAAAAGGGGATAAAAGGAGAGAACCCCGAGGCCCGACGGAAAAGCAAGAGGCTGTGTTTGCTGGCCTAGGTCTGTCCCCGGAGCAGCTGGCGGCTGTTCGAAGGGCTTGCACAAACAAAGTAACTTCAAAGTTGTGGGCTGGCAGAGGCTCAGAAGATGAGAGTTGTCTGAAGGAGCTCCCGGTCCTCATGATGTTGTTGGACGTCACCACCAAGAGGGGAGACTGGATTGGAGCACTCATCGATTTAGCCTCTGACACGAATTATATCACCCACGAGGCAGCGGAGAGGCTTGGTCTGCCTGGTGAACCAATCACCTTAGTTGTTCATGGTGTTGGTGGCATGGAGGCAAAAGTAGAGACAAAGAAATACCTGGTGAGCATAAAAGTAGCCACAAAGAAGGGAACATGGCGACTCCATGAGATGGTTTGCTATGGATTAGAAGAGATTGCCAATGTGGGTCACGTCGTGGACTCGGGGCGCCTGGAGAAGTTTTTCCCAGGCTCCGTCGAACCCGGGGAACTGATTCGCCCGGAAAAGATTGAGCTACTCATCAGCACCCGGGAGGGTCGTCTAGCCCCCAGAGAATGATGAGGTGCGGTGACTTGGTTCTGTGGGATGGTCCGTTGGGGAAAACCATCAGTGGTGCACACCCAGATCTGTTTGAAGATGTGGAGGTGACTGCACGACTCTCATCGACCCATTTTGCATGCTCCATGAGGGCGGAGTCTCAGAGAGTTGTGGCCCTCCATAACTGCTGCCCAAAACCAAAGAACGGCGTAGAAGTCGGTACCACGGCTACATCCAACACTGAGATCATCAAATGGCTGCAGTGGGACAGTATTGGTGCCGCCTGTGATCCCATGTGTGGCGGGTGCCGCTGCGGGAAGTGCGCCCCTGGAGGGAAAGAAATGTCACTTGCTGATGAAAGAGAGTTGGAGATCATCAGAGGAGGTCTAACCTTCAAGCTGAGTGACAATCATAGTGACAAACCCCATTGGGATGCTAAATATCCCTGGAAAGAGGACCCTGCGACCCTGCCTAACAACCGCAAAGCTGTGGAGGCGACTTTCCTGAAGTCAGAAAAGCGCCTCGAGAAAGATCCGCTATGGAAGGCAGCTTATGCTAAGCAGGTGTGCGACATGCTGGCTAGGGGGGCCGCTATCCAGCTTTCCCAGACGGTGTTGGACGAGTGGAAAGGAGCGGTGTGGTGGATAAACCATCTGATGGCGCCCAACCCACACTCCAACACCACGCCGGTGAGGCTCGTTTGGGACAGCAGCCAGGTGTACAGAGGTGTTAGTTTGAACAGCATCTTGATGAAAGGCCCAGATGTCCTGAATCCCATTAGGGCAGTGCTGCTCCATTTCCGGGAGGGAGAGCATGCGGCAATAGGGGATGTCTCCAAAATGTATAACTCTGTATGGCTGGAGGATCAAGAGGTGCATGTTCACCGCTTCTTGTGGAGGCATTCCCTGGAGGAGGACATCAAGGATTATGCTGTGGTGCGTGTGAACATGGGTGACAAGCCTGCAGGTTGTATCGCTCAGGTTGCCATGCGAGAGACTGCCCTTCTGCCACAGTTTGTCAACAGAGTGGAAGAAAGACGTGTCATTGAAGAGGATACTTACGTGGATGACATCCTTGTGTCCCACAACGACCTTGAGAGACTGAGCGAGATCCTTGAGGGGGTTGAAACCATTCTCAAGCATGGTGGGTTTTACCTCAAGCCTTGGGTGCGGTCTGGCTTTAGTGGGAGGCAAGGTGCTGTTCCTGCCGAACCAGAAACCATCATGTTGCCCAACCAGCTGCGGACCGAGGACAACAAGGCCTTGGGTGTGGGTTATCTCGTGGAAGAAGACAAGCTCTTCCTCATGGTGGCTATTAACTTCTCCGCAAGAAAGAAAAAGATGCGTACTCAAGTAGACCTCACTGAGGAGAACATAGGGGAGAAGACGCCAAATCCCCTCACCCGCCGTATGCTTCTAAGTCAGGTAGCAGGGCTCTATGACCCCCTTGGTCTGGCGACGCCCCTGAAGCAGAAAGGTGTTATTCTTGTCAGAAGAGCCTTTCAGGAGGCCGGGATACTGACTAAGGATACGTGGGATAAGCCGCTGTCTAGTGAACTACGTGGGAGAGCGATCAAGCTCTTTGAGGAGTACGCGCGGCTGAGTACCATCACCTTTCCCAGGAGTATTACACCATCCGGCTGGGTGGGTAAACCCTGGGGGATCACGTTCTCTGATGGAAGTTGTGACTCATACGGAGCGGTCCTCTACCTGCGCTGGGAAACATCTGGAGGGGTTAAGACCCGGCTCGTGGAGTCCAAGGCCAAATTGACTCCAATTGAACAAAAGGGAGATGCTGTCAAGGCAGAGATTTGTGGAGCTGTTTTTGCCACTCGCCTGAAAGGTTACTTTCTGAAGTACAGTCGGTTGGAAATAGATCGTTGGTACCATTTTCTGGACAGTCAGACTGTGTTAGGTGCCATCCAACGGGAGAGTTACGGGTTCCAGACCTTCTTTGCCAATCGAGTGGGAGAGATACAGAAGACTGGGCCTGTGACCGACTGGTGGTGGCTTCCTGGCCAGTTCAACGTGGCTGACCTGGTCACAAGAGGATGTTCCCCTGAGCAGCTTGGTGAGGGCTCTTCATGGCAGACCGGTCCCATGTTCCTAACCAAGCCAGTAGAGGAATGGCCCATAAAGTCAGCTGCAGAGGTGGCCTCTGGGACTAGAGAAGTCGTCAGTCGACTCCAAAGAAAGGCTTTTTCTGCCATCTTAACAAGGTCGCAGGAAAGGGCGCAGACTACTCCAGATGGTTTTGATAGCGTCAAAGCCGTGGTCGGCGGCCGAGTAAGTCCAGAGCTTTTACCATTCAGCAACAAGGTTACGTCTTTTGAGACTAAGGGGTCTCCTTCTGTTGCTTCTAATGTCTGCAGGATCAAGGAGTGCTGGGGTTCAGCCTTGATAAATCAAGTAGATCTTTCACGGTTCAATTCTCTAGCCAAGCTCTGTGGGGTCATAGCTTATGTCCACAGAGCCTTGCGCTTTTGGTTATCTGGCAGGGGTCGAACTGCTGTAGGATTAAAGTGGGAGGCAGTGCCCACGGCTCAGGAGCGAGTAGAGGCGTTTCAGGACTTATGCCTCGCCGCCCAAGCAGGTGTGACTTTCCCTACGACGATGCTCAACCGCCTGGTTGTGCGCAAGGATAAAACAACGGGGCTCTTGATGTGCTATGGTCGGATTCAATCCGTTGAGGAGGAGAGGTCCGGGGTCCCTTTGATCCCCTACAAGTGTCGGTTAAGCTCTCTCCTCGCTGAGGACGCCCATCGTGTCAACCACGAAGGTGTTTCTGCCACCCTTCTTCGGATGAGGGAGAGGGGCTGGGTAGTTCAAGGTCCCAGGATCGTACGGAAGGTGATTGATTCGTGCGTAAGTTGCAGAAAGTGCAGGGCCAAGCTATCCACTCAGGTGATGAGTGATCTTCCTCCCGTACGTACTACGCCAGCAGCCCCTTTTGAGTACACTACTTTGGACTTGTTTGGTCCATATTTTGTCAGAGACTCAGTAAGACGACGAGTGAAGAAGAAAGTTTGGGGCGTGGTTTTTAGCTGTATGGCCTCAAGAGCAGTTCATGCAGACATAGTTGAAGATCTGTCAACTGAGGGCTTCCTGAAGGCATACCAGCGGTTTACTGCCCTGAGGGGTCACCCCAAGAAACTCTGGTCTGACCAGGGGACCAATTTCGTGGGAGCTAAACCTGCGCTGAAGGAGCTCTATGATTTCCTTGCGGGTATCGACAAAGACGAGATCCAAAGAAAGGCAGCCGTAGTTGGGTCTGACTGGATGTGGGAGTTTAGTCCAGCGGACTCCCCACACCGGAATGGAGCAGCAGAGGCAGCTGTTCGCGTGTTGAAAAGGGCGTTGAGTAACGTTGGTGAGGAGGGAAACTTGACTGCTCTGGAATTCCAAACCCTCCTCTATTTGGCGGCCAACCTCACCAATGAGAGGCCTATCGGGGCCAGAGCTCAAATTCAGGAAGAAATTGTAGATGTGTTGACACCAAACTCTTTGTTGTTGGGTCGGGCAGGGCCCAGGGGCGACAACATGGGTTTTGAGTTCCCTGCCTACCCATTCAGTCGTCTACGTGCAGTCCAGGTGGAAGTGGACAAGTTTTGGAGACGCTGGAGTCAGTTGGCCGGGCCGCACCTGTTTGTTCGGCAAAAATGGCATGCCCCGGCGAGAAATGTTTCTGTTGGGGACCTTGTCTGGGTGGCAGATCAGAACGCACTTAGGGGTCGTTTCAAGCTGGGCCGCGTGGAGGAGGCAGATCCGGATCACCTAGGTGTTGTTCGAGATGTCAAAGTAAGGATTTGTTGTAGTCGTCCCATCAACTGGTCTCAGGCAAGGAAGGACAGGGAACCATGTCATTCCACCATTCTCCACAGGGACGTAAGGAGGTTGGTGGTGTTACTGCCAGTAGAGGAGCAAGAGGAACGTGGTTCATCCCCCTGAGTACCCAGGAGATACTTGCAGATTGGGGACTCTTGGGTGTGGGGACCAGGCCCAACCTGTTTAAAACACTGTTATAAGACTTTTTGTTTTCTATATTAGTGTTTATTGCTACTGGTTATTGTGGCCTACTTAGTCTGGCACGTAGCCCAAGTGGGAGGTGTGTGGTTTTTTCCCATATTACTAACATGCCAATTTGTTTGTTGTGATTTATTATCAGCCAGACTCATATTTGCTTTAAATGACAAATTTATTTAAGACGGAGTGATTTATCTAAGTCTGGGATGGTATGTGTTAACGGCCGCTCATAGATCCTACCTGCCGGATCTTCTTTTCATTGATATCGCTGTTATGACTGATGAAGCCGAGCTGGTGAGTTTCTGTGTTAACCAAGTAACGTGTTAAAGCTATAAATATGACTATTACTAAACTGTACTGTCATTAATAGTGTTGCTTTGTTAATGTTGTATGGTTGTTTTATTTTGTGTCTTTCAGTTGATTACCTGGCATCTGTAAAGGCACGGTTACTGTACTGGTGTTAGTTTATGGTTGTGGAATAAACTTATAAAAGGCAGCAATCAGATGTCCGAGCCTGAGTACGACACAGTTTCATCAGTTAAAACACACCCTTACGGTGGGAGTTTGCTAAATTAAAGGTAGTTAACTTAGTAAAAACCGTACAATGTCAGATCAGCATCCTGATGTGGCACACCTGTGAGGTGGGATGGATTATCTCAATATGGCAGATGTGCCCACTACCACACACTTGGACTGATTTGTGAGCACTGTTTGGGAGGGATGGTTATATTGTGTATCTGGAATGAATTTTAGGTCTCTACGTCCATCCCATGGGGAATGGGAGCAGTAACAAAGGTGTTGCGTTTATATTTTTGTTGAGTGTATGTTCTGTGTGTGTGTGTGGGGGGGGGAGTGTTCGCCCAGGGCGCCAAACAGGCTAGGGCCGCCACTGCCTGTGGTGGTCTGGTTGAGCATTTGTAGCCTCGCTACCAAACGGGCATCTCATCTCCGAGAAAGTTATACCAGAGAGAAGTAAAGCAAGTGTGTAAGTTCATCTCTGAATGTTTGTAAAGCATTCCCGCGTTAAACTTAACAACCGATATATGGAGCGACTGCCTCTTCTCTCTCCCTCCCTCTCCTGCTGCTACTTCAATTGAAACTGCTTAATGATCAGCTGATTGGCTTTTCTGTCGCGAGTCCGTCTCTCTTGTTTGTTTATCGCCCACTTCGCCTGAAAGAGGAAACCAGCGGCTGAACAACAGCAGCACGTTTAAGCTTGATAATCTGTTGTTAGAATTTATTTAATATTTCTTTCTACACCAGGATCTTTTTCTATGCAGCTGATAGCTGGTAACTGTGCAGGGGCGGATCTAGCAAAGTTTAGCCAGGGGGGCCGATAGGGCATTAACAGGAAAAAGGGGGCACAAAGACATACTTTTCTTTCTTATTCTCGTTTAAAATGTCTAGCTTTTAATAAATAATTATCTGAATCTTATACCCAAAGTTTTAATTTGATGTAAAATGTATAGAAGTCCATTACTGTATATAGTAACTATTAAGTCTAATATACCCTAGTAAGCTGTAGTACTTTTTCCTTTGGGAAGGTACCATCTGTGCAGTCTGTAATTCAGTTGAAGAAAGATGTTGAATCTATTTAATTATTCTTGAAAAATAATTTATTTCTGTGCATTTCTTTTCACACTGCATCAAATTAAAGTTGATTACGTCGATTAAGCATTATGAGGTGGGGGGTGGTTCCCTATTTTTTTTTTTTGCTGGGAGTTTATAACCCTATTAGTTAAGTTGCTTACTCTTTAAAATACCAGAATAGGGAGGATGGAGTAGGTTTATGTTTGTTAGATTGATCAGTATTGCTGAACCATGAAATATTTTGGGTGTAGTGTATTTTTTGCATACAGGTGTAACAGAATAGCTTTAGTGTTTTTTTTTTTAAAAACTTGAGTATGAACTTATACAAAAGGCAGCAAGATATTTAAAAAAAAACAACAGTTTTATTGATTAAAAAACACTATATCGGATTCATTACGGTATCGGCCGATATCCAAATTTATAATATCGGTATTGGTATCGGACATAAAAAAGTGGTATCGTGCCATCTCTAACCTTGACCTCCCGGTCTGCTATCAAGCTGGTGTGTAACAAACGTCTCAGAAAATGTCAGAGCACTTTTGCAAATATGTGATGTTTTGATAAATCAAGCAGATATTTGAAGTTTACAGAGCTACATTCTCTCCTGAAAATAACTTAAAAGTTTATTTTGTGATCTAGAAAGAGTAGTATTTAAAAGTTTTTAGTGTTTGAGTTTTGGATGAAATGCATTCTGGGATATTTGGCTGTACCAAGTCCACACAAGTCATAACCAATGCATGCTCGATAAAACGGAAGGAGCGAGAGCACATCTGGAAATTTTTATCGTTCTCAGCTTGATGCGTACTTTGAATTGGAACAGTACTTGGTCTCCGACAGATGACATATCACAAGTTCACGAGAACGGAGGAACACACAAGTACACATATTGAGACACAGCCCCGCCATTACTCCAATGACTGTCCTTTAGTATTTTTCCATCCCCCTCCCAACAACAACCCAGTATAAACGTTTCTACCTCTTATCATTCACCTGATACTACGGCTTACACTTCTGTCTAAAATGTTGTATGGTCTTTACCTTATATAATAAAGTGCTATGAAATAACTTTTGATGTAATTTCATACTCTGGAGAAAAGTACATGAATTTATTTTTTGACTCATATTTTTGCCAGTAAAATAACTCATGACTGTTGAAGTACCTGCTGATGTATCTCTTCAGGGAAAATCCAGAAGAACTCAGGTTTTTTCATCATTGTCTGGACGTACTCCACACCCTGTGATTCGCTGAGCTTGCGGATGAGGTAAACACGATACCAGTCATTTCCACTGTCCTCACAGAGCTTTTTCACCATGTTTAGAAAATCTTCTGCTCCGTCTGGGACATGGTTGCCTGCAACAATGACAGACTGGTTGTTTTAGTTCCTAAGCACTGGAAACTATAGTAGCGCAATGCAGTAGTGAAGTTATATCTCACCTGACAGTCTGTCACTGATGAGCTGTGCAGCCATGGTGAGCGTCACACGCAATCGGGCAATATGTTGCAGGTGTTGAATACAGACTGTTGCTGCAGCAGAAGTGTCTTCTTCCAAAAACAAGCGCAGGAACTGTGTTTCATTATCAAACCATTGTAACTCTGCAGCTTTGTTGCCCTCCTGAGGCATTTTCTCCCAGATGGAGTCCTGCAAATAGCACCAGTTAATTGTCACTTCATCTGACCTCTATCAGCAACAAGCAAAAAAACCAAGGACTTTGTCATACTGCTGGTATTCAAACTGTGCCCTGTTCAGATATAGCTGGATAACTACATATGTTTGAGAATACATAAACAACTCCTGTATACTGAAACTACTTTTACATTTACATTAAATCCAGCACAGAGGACTCCTCCTTCTGCTGATCACTAGTTTAAGTTTCATTCCAGAAGGAGAATATTTACATTATGTTAGTGGGTTTCACGTTCATGTTCACAACTATAAGTAAAAAAAAGACCAAACAGTAGAAAACAGAATTTCAGATGTCCTTTTAGAGACTTTTGTTTTTGGAGAATAATACATGCTCCCTAAAAGGTTGTGGTTATTCTTTAGTTACCACTTGCTTTAGAAAAATAAAATAAAAAGTCTTTATAAATCCTTTTTTATTCCTAAAAAGGAGAAACCTTCTTCTCATCAGTTTATTTGTGTAATGTAACACTATTAAATGCAATTTCCAAAGGTTTTCTTTCTAGTTTTACCTCCAAGCAGTTGATGTATAAAGCATAGAGCTCTGCTCTGTCCCCATCATCCACAAATCTGCTTTCTTCAACAGATGAAAAATGTTGCTGCAAATATTTCTGAACCTCATCAAAGCTGAAACAGAGTTAGGTCAATCATATAGTGTAAGGTAAACAAGTTCAAGTCTTTTCACACATTTTATCACTAAACATGCAAAATTCCCAATGCTGAGAAACTTTTCAACACTGCTCAAAACATTGAAACATCTATGTTAATTCAGACTAAGAGTAATTTTACAGTGACATATTTATAGTAGGTTACCTACCTGAACTTCAGTAGCAGTTTGAGGATTACTGATCGCACAACTGGGTTTTTATCTGGGGACTCTTCAAATGGTGATAAAACTTTGGTGTGAACCTGTTTATGTTCTGTTTGGAAAATAATCTAAAGTTAACATTAAAAAAGACCAATAGTAATTTATTCTAGCAGATTTTGATCACTTTTTTGTAATTTTTGAAATCTGGAAGAAAATGATTTATATTATTTATGGTTGTAGTGATCACATGAGAAATTATCCCTGGATTCCAGATTCTTTAGAGAAGAAGGTGAAAAACCCCCAAAGTGGTACCTGTCTCCGTCATCAGGTAGGAAAAAAGGTGTGCGATGACACCTCCATCTGGAGGTGTATTGTCCTTGAAGCACATAGTAGAGAGCAGATCAATAAAGAAACTGTTGCAACGTTGCCTGAATCCTGCATTTTTCTTGATAGATGCTCTGGAGAGATACAAAATGTAAATTAAGCATAATGTATATGCACTATGCCAAACGTTAAGCTTTGTAACCTGATTCCCCAGAACTGATTCTCTCTCAGGATCTCAATGTGCTTACTGATACTGTGTTTTATGCACACTACAAAACAATATTTTTAATTATAAAGTGAAACTCTTGAGATTGAGACTCTCTTTTGCAAGAGTGTCCTGGGATGACATAGCATTAACTTAGCTTTTATTTTCAAGGCAGAAGAAACCTGAGCTCCCAGAGAAAACCTTCACAAGCACAGGTCAAATATGCAACCTCAACAAAGAACAACCATACCCAGGTTTGACCCCATGACCATGTTGCTGTGAGGCAAAAGTGCTAAGCAACAAGCCACTGTACGTCTTCTATATTTGAAAATGTTGTAGAATGAATGGGTGACACATCGATTATAAGTGGCAGCCTGTAACTATATTTCATAAAGGCAAATATGGCAATCCTGCCATAACAGTTGAACCAGGGAAGGGGCAAAAGGAGCCGATCTTGTTACCCTGACGCATACAGACAGTAGTAGGTTCCACCTGTGTGATGTTTTGCATATCTACTTATTATCATTTAGGTAATTCCTTCAAATACTCTAGTAGGATAAGCCTGTAACACGTATCATGTCAGCACTCTGGATTGAACCTTTGCTGAAGCCTTAAGATTGAAAAACTTTGCAAATACTCTTTAAGTTTAAAGCTGTTTAAGGTATTTCTGAGAAGGTTGTAATATAAAGCAGCTGTATAGTTATGAATGTGAAAAACAGCCAATTCCTGTGAATGTTTACACATGCGTTATCAGCTATTTACACAAATAAACAATCTCACCTTATGTCTTCAGAAACATGTGGTTGGAAATCATCTGGTAATTGTTGGCGGCACTTTGGACAGGATGTCCGTCCTGCATCAAGGCTGTTCTTAATACATGTTAAGCAATAGATGTGATTGCATGGCAGTCCCACTGTTTCCTGAGGCTCTCTCATGCACACCCCACACTCAAGGCCAAACCTTCAGGAAGATGCAACCAACATCAATCAAATTACCTTTAAATTCTTCCATATTTCATATAAATTCATTTAAAGGCCAGCTTAAAGCAAGACAAGGCTTTACCTGAAAATCTGATTAGTTGCCCCCTGTTTACAGGACTTCAGGACTTCAACTACTGCTTCAAAAGCCTGTGTAGACTTTACATCCGAGTTTGTCTCCACAGCCTTAAACATAGGTTAAAATAATAAAGAACACAGTAATTATAATCATTATATTAATTTATTTAAGACAGAAGAACAAAAAAATCTTATGCCCAACTAAGGTGCTTTGTCTCATTAAAACAGACTTCTGTGCAATATGGACAGGTTACAGACAAAAAGAGTGCCTCCATCATCTTGCGTAGGCGAAATTGCTGATGTATTGGAGAATACAGAGGTCTTTTCATTTTGTAAATTAAACCTAAATCAAACAATTTGCGCTGAATAATGATTAGTTATTTGACTAGGTGTGACTGTGACCTTTGATTTAAAACAAAACAAAACATAAACTAAAAACAAACACACACATATACACAAACACACTTACTCTACTAAGGGTTTTAATGTGGTTCAGGACCAGTGTCCTGAGCTGATTGTCTTCATTTTGGAAACCCAGCATCAAATGTTCCACAAACAACGAGAGGATGTAGATGCGCTTCCAACCATGACTGCAAAATATTACAGACCATGATCAAAGTTAGTATGTTCTTGATTATATATGTATATATATATATATATATATATATATATATATATATATATATATATATATATATATATATATATATATATATATATACACTAATGATAGACTAATGATATGAGCTGTGTCATATCATCCTGGTCATTTTTATGTGATATAAAATATTTATGCTTCAAACAACAAGATAAGCTTAGGCACGACTGAGCTCCGTGCCAGCCTCTAAAGACAATTGAGTAAAAAACATGGAGCTACTTAAATGACCAATAACAAAGCAGAGTACAAAATATGGAAGACTATGAAGAAGGAGACACTAGTAGCTGTTGATGTGCCACCCAAATGTAAACAACTGACTCAACAAGCTACACTTGCTAATTATCAGGAAGAGCCAGCGGTGGATGGAAACTTATGCTGTGGTCAAATAGTGGTAAAGCAGGACAAGAAGTTGGCTGAAAAGCTTGACCCAACATACAATGTCCCAAATAGAAAATAATTTTCAGTTTTATTATGTGATGATACTGTGCAGCATTGTAGAATTACACAGTTGAGTTGAGTTACAGTTAGTGTTCAACTAGTACTAGTGGTTATTACATACTTAGAATTTCCAGGAAGATATTACATAGGCTACTTTTGTGCTTACATTTGACTTATACTGGGTCATTTATACTGGCAATATATTCACACTTAAAATGAGATTGTGCCATCATTGACAGCAGCTCATTGGAAAAGAGGACAATGCCCTTTATTTTGTTTGCACTAATACATGTTGCTGCCCGCAAGCTGCAATCACACAAAAAAAAAGTTCAGTTTTTTGTTTCTATATCATCAGAAATATCATTATTATATTTCTTATAATGTTTTGACATAACTTTAGGGCTATATCACCCACCCCTACAGCACTATCAAAGTCAGCATTTTACACCTGTGCTAGGATTTACTAAACATGTTGGTTAGCAATGGGGGGAAGCATAAGTTGACACTTTAATGTCCCAGATCTTATGTTTAAATAGGTGTGCTACATCTTTGCTAAAATAAGAATATACTGCATTAAAAAATCCCCATAACTTTAAGTCATAACAATAAATAACTACAAAAATCTTTCGCAGTTTCTTTCAGTCAACACTAGAGAGAACTGGGCAACAAAATTCTACTTTCACTGCATCAGTATCTTACCTGAAATCATGGAGTACTTTCCGGCAGTGCTCACCATATTGTTGAAGATTATTTTGAGAGCAAATCAACTCCAAAGAAGCCTGCACCTTCTTCACCTTCCTCAGCCAGTGCTGGCAGCGGATATCATTCTCTAAGTTAGAAGGTTCCAGGCTTTCAACACATGCCTTGGCTGCATAGACATCCAAAACCTACAGCAGAACAAAACAGTTTGTAAGTGATTAAGCAGTTTTCTAATATTTATAATATCCTTTGAATAGTTCTATGATTGTTAAAAATATCCACACCCTAAAGGCAATTTTATAAATAAATTCTCAGAGCACCAGGAATGAAGAAATACACTTACCATTTCAGGACAACGTCTAATTTGCTGGTTTCTTTGCAAAGGTGAAACAATTTCAGTGTGTAGAGAAATCATCCGTGAAAGGTTCTGAAGACGGCTTTGGCAAAAATGATAGGCAATGTGGATGAGCGGTAGAGAAAGCTCATCATCTCGTTTTTGTCTCTGTATTTCGTCAACACAGCTGGCCATGGCCTGACAAAGTAGCTGAGGAGTTAAGGCCCAAGTAGATTATTGACACAATATTTGTTTGGAATATTAGCAACTTAAACTGGCATTACATTTAATGTATTATTTTGATTGAAAAAATTCCGAATGATGCTTTACTCTGAGCCATGTAAAGCATCAAATACAAAGTGTAATTAACAAAGCATTGCTTTGATCTGCTCCACATTGTTGCTATGCATTATAATACTTCCACACTCATTCCAGCAAACTTATATTTGAACCTTTAAAGTTACCTTTAATGATTAGTTTTTACCAGTACTTTGATGAAAAGATTTAGCTAATCCTAATTGCTCCACTATATTAGAGTGTAGTAAACTGGACGGTTGTGACAACTGAGAAAAGTTTGTGCAGTGATTTTTTTCTTCTTATTGGATTTTATGTTGTTGGGTAGTGGGATTTACCTCAAACCAAAGGTAACATTAATCGAACATAAGCATTTTCAAGAAAACATGAAGCAAGCCTACCGTATATTTGAGGAAATGAAAAGTCACATTGTACTAATGGAGACAGTTATTGTGCATTTTCCTTCATTCATCTCACCTCTAATTTTTCATCTGATGCCACTTTCATGGTCATGGAAACAAAATCTTGCAGATACCTTTTGCAAAATTCTCTCTTCATTTTTTCATTCACATTTTTTGCCATGTAAGTGCCAAGTGGAGTTTCCAAGAACAAATCATAGAAATCCCCAAACGAATGCTCTGTAAGAAAAATTTAAAAAGGTAATAGTTCCATTAATATATTAGGATTCAATTTAAAAAAAGGTTTAAACTAACAATTAAAGCACAACTTCAAGGCATATTTACTTTGATGTTTTGATTGTCTTGCTTGCATCATGAGCCCATCTAGGAACTCTTTGATCCACCAACTGAAGGGCAGGCGGCAGAACATGGTATGGCCACCTGTGACATGGCTTTGTACCATTAATACTCTGTAAAAGTAAGAGGGCCAAGATTAAATTTTTTTTTACAAATGCTATTTTTAAATAGATGATGTGCCAGAAAATTAACCACTTTGACAAGAGTAATTTTACCACTGATCATTTAAAAAGACTGTCCCTTACAAAACCCCAAAGTCACACAATTTGCACTGAATACACTGACCAGCTACTTAATTAGTTACAATTGTTCAGCTGCTCATTAACTTTCTAATCAGCCAAAGACAGTAACTCAGTGCATTTAGACAAAACAACCTGATCATCAATTGGTATTTTAAAACATAATCATTGCTAGGGTTGCATCTCTGAACACAAACACATCAAATCTTAAAGCAGGTGGGCTTCTAAAGCTGCAGAAGACAACACTGGATACAATTCCTGTTAGCTAAGAACAAGAAAGTGAGGCTACCATTTGTATGAACTTGCCAAAGCTGGAGAGTGTCAAATTCTTCTATTGCACCCTTATGGATCCATCCTACTTTGTATCAATAGTTCCAGCTGCTGCTGGTGTAATGGTGTGGGAGATATCCTTTGGCCAAACCATGGGCCCCTTAGTACCAACTACATGTAATTTAAAGACCATAGCCTACGTATTACAGGTGACAATGTTCATTCCTTTGTGATGACAGTGTACCCATCTGATGGCTGCTTTGCACTATGTCACAAAGATCAAATCATCACAAACTGGTTTCTTGAGCATGAGAAAGAATTCTCTGCACTCAAATGGCCTCCACAGTTACCAAATTTCAATCCAATAGATGTGGGAGATTGACATCAGAGATGTGCAACCAACAAATTTTCATCAACTGTGTGATGCTATCATATCAATATGCACAAGAATTAGGCAGTTCTGAAGGCAAAGGGGTCCAATCTGATATGAGCAAATACCATAACCAAAAGATACCTACTTGTTTTCCACCCTCACATACGGCACACTGAGCATCTCTTTGTTCCCAAAAATTTCAAGCCAGAGATTCCTGATATCTTCTTCATCATCCAAGAGAAGGTCCATATTGCAATCTCGGTCAATTACTGAGACCAGGTAGGCTAGAAGTGGAGTGACAACTGCTTGGATTTTCCTCCACAGTGTGTGCCTGAAAGAAATAATCATACAACATTCTTAAAATCAGCCTGACATCTGCTGATGTCAACCCAGGGTTACAGGTGAGACAAGTAACTGTTGTGTCTTGTTTGGAGTTGCGTATTTTACATTTGACATAAAATGTATTTCAATAAATGATGAATAAGTGATTTAATGAAATACACCCCCCCCCCCCGGCAAAAAAAAAAAAGGTATGGCATGAGGCAAATATTAGAGGAACTTACAGGAACGTCCCTCCTTCTTGAAGAGCACTGTCATTAGATGCCTCATTTAGGACCCAGCTTTTTAGAATGGGCATATTGACCTCATTGTCCTTTAACAGTGAGTGAAGTCGCTTCCTCACAATTTTTGCAAACAATCCTTGGAAACAAAATTAATTTATGTCATCACATTTTTTCATCAAAATGCATTTTGGCTGCAGTTTCATTGTAGCTGTCCATAACACTGACCCTACTGCGAGGTAAATATGAATCTGTGAGTTTTGTTTGAAACTTGTGTCTTAAGTTGCCATGTAAAACGGGCTGACTGTTAGCTGCGATTAGCCGCTAACTTAGCCTAGTATGTTTGCTTAGCTCATGTCCTGCTCTGTACTCATGTATTTAGCAAATGTTAATATTGCTGACAGAGTATGTAACAGTATGCAAATCGGCATTTAGCAGGGTTATTTAATTCAGTAGGAGGACACAGAGGTCTTTGCTGGCAGGCCAGAGAGGTCCCTTCTGTTTTTCTTATGTGTTAACGTGAGAATATGTGAATACAGCAACTGTGAGTGCTGCTGCTGTGCCTTGCTGGTGGCCTTGACCCAGTTTCCCCGACTAGCCCCTTGAACTGCCTGGAGCCATGAGTACTGTTGTTTGCACGTGCTTTTATTTTAGTGCTTGGCAACAAGTGAAGCGGCCATGTTGTTTTAGGTCCCAACGCACCCGAGCCACGACTCAGGCCTGCAACAAGGTGTTTGCTAACACGGAAAGACTGTTGCAGTTAAGGTGTGTGTGTCGGTGAGAGTGTGTGTGGGCCCACCATATTATTTAATTATTTGGTTACAGTTGATATTAGATACCTTACCTTTTGTGTTATTGGAGCTAATCATTACTAAAGTGGAGTTGAATTTATAATTGACCTGCTTGTCTGTGGTTCATTTCCATATAGTCTATTTTATTGCACATGTCATGTCACAAGCATCAAAAAGGGAGTATCAGTAGTAAGTAACAAGAGGAACCCAGGACCCCTCTCAATAGAATGTGGGACGGGTGTTACATTTACATCATTATTTTCTAACCTTGAGTATGGTTTCCATCCAGAAGAGTGAGCAGATTCTCAACTCTCTTAGTGCTGAATTCGCCACTGTTTGCTTCATCTCTCAGCATGCTCACTGCACTCTGAACACAACTTCTCACCAAATTTGTAGTATCAAATACATCTTCCAAAACCTGAAAAAAATTATTACAAAATAATTGTGAATTATTATTAATAAGAAAATGAATAGTAATGATTAACACACACAACATTTAAACCACTGCTTACTGCTATCACAGCATTCTCAGAAGAGTAACTGTCAAGTGGGTGGGATATATTAGTCAACCAGTGAGACTGTCTTACATAACTCAGAATCAAAGATTTTCTGACAGATGCAGCTGTTTGAATTCAAAAAAACATTTAAAAAAAAAATTCAATTTTTTTTCCATATTGATATCATTGTAATATTTTAAATATCATCACTGGATATTGGATTGGATTGGATTTTATCTATTTCAGCACTGACAAATATGTTTAGTAGTTACACTGAATAAGCCTGGTACCACTGATTAAAAGTATTGAAAAAAGAAGACAATAAATGTAAAAGAGGGAAAGTGGTAATAAATATTAAACCTTCTCAGAGATGAATAAACTGTCCTTTGGTCGTGTGGAAATACCGATATTCTATCAAGGTTTAAATGTGGTAAATAACACTTACAGTGGATTCAGCTATTTGTGGTACACCGGTGTAATCTTCTGTCTCCATGGCTTGGAAAAAAGAATTATTATTATTATTATTATTATTATTATTATTATTAGTAGTAGTAGTAGTAGTATACAAAATATTCCACAGGAAAAAAAAATGGTGATTTACCCTCAGGTGGATCTTCAAAAAGATCACTGATGCGTTGGTTTTTCAAAGAAAGAGCATCGGAAAGAAACTCTTTTGATCTTCTGATATCATCAATGTGAACAGACCTCCAAGGACCTGAAAAGGTATGAATAAGAAAGACACAGTTAACTGTTGTCCTCTGTGAACACTCAATTTTTTGATGTTGACGTTTAATGTGTTACATAACACATTAAACATGAAACATGTTTATTAAAATATATATTAACATTAAAACATCACAAATTTGCTGACATGAAATAAAACCTTTGCTTTGCGTGTGTGTGTGTGTTTGTCTGTGTGTGTGTGTGTGTGTGTGTGGCAGGACTAACCTCCTTGAAACCCAACATAGGAAGTTCCACCCTCCATGCGCGGTAGTTTGATGACAAAGTACACAAATGTCTTTATGGCATCAGTAGTTTCATACTTGTTTACTTCATTGAAGCATGAATATCTTTGAAATTCAAACAAGAAAGTAAAAGAGAAAATTAGAAATTTTGCACTAATGTTAGCAAATTAAATAAAAGTCATTATCGGATGATCTTCCTGCTCACTTGGCTGAAGAAAGAATATTCCTTCTGTGGGAGCCTTCATCATACTCTGCTTGGATAATGAGGACTTTGTCTGTGTGTGTTGAGCTCAGAAAATCCCTAGTATTGAGACATATATTAAAACATATATTTGAATAAACACAACAATAACTAAGTGGTATGTGGATCCATACATCTACTCACTATAATAGACACTAGGGGTGCAACAATACTCGTATCGATATTGAACCGTTTGATACAGTGCTTTCGGTTTGCTACACATATGTATCGAACAATACAAATTTTTTAATTTATTTGATCAACTTTTCTTCTGACGATGCTGTCTGTGTTGAGAGCTCAGTGGATCTGCGTTCGACTACTCCGCCTAGGCTGCACTGTCGAGCGCAGATCCACTGAGTGCAGCGCAAGCTAGCAAGACAGAAGTTAAGCTCTCCTTGCAACATGGGAAATTGAACCTCCCCCACCCTCATTCAGATGTGGCCTTTGGAACTATTTTGGTCTTCATGTGAAGTATGACCCTGAAGTTAAGCGCGTCACGGACAAAAGTAAAACAGTATGTCGGATGCGCCACGCAATGCTCAATTACATTCAATTCAATTCAATTCAATTTTATTTATATAGCGCCAAATCACAACAAAAGTCGCCTCAAGGCACTTCATAGATACAGAGAAAAACCCAACAATCATATGACCCCCTATGAGCAAGCACTTTGGCGACAGTGGGAAGGAAAAACTCCCTTTTAACAGGAAGAAACCTCCGGCAGAACCAGGCTCAGGGAGGGGCGGCCATCTACTGCGACCGGTTGGGTGGGAACTACTGCGTTAGCACAGTTAGCTCGTTGACGCCGTCCAGCCCCACGCACGGGGCGATCCGTGGTAGCTTGTTAACGGAGATTTGCCGTGTTGTGGCTTTAACGTCATTTCAAAGAGATTAACGCTGACAGCACTAGTGGGAACACAAGGAATATGACTGCACATTTACTCCAACATCATCCTAGTGCAAAGACAAGTGGAAGCAGACAAAAACAACAAGCACGCATGCTACAAACTTTTACCCGAGTCATTTAGACAGCCGTTAGCACATGATTCTCCTTATGGGGACCTGATATGTTTAACATGTTGCTGAGAATATAGCCCAGAAGAAGCGTATAGTATAGCTTTTATTTTTTGAAAAAGCCATTTCTCTTTAATAAACTCTCTTTTCCAAAGATGAGTATTTCTCGATCAGATATATTTATTATTTTATCCCTTTGTTGTTTCAGCAACATTAAATTTAAAAACTGTACGTTTGAGTTAAAATATATATTTCTAATTTTAATAAATGACAAATTAAAAAAGCATGAACATTTTCTTGTATCGAAAAAATATCAAACCGTGACACCAAAGTATCGAACCGAACCGAACCTTGAATGTTATGTATCGTTGCACCCCTAATAGACACCATTAATTTTAATTGATTATAATAAGAAAGATCACAAGATATAAAAGCACAAGGGTGTAAAAAAAAAGACAGGTGATCAGTTTAATTAAAATGAACACCAGCAGATGATTTATTTATTTATATTATGAATGCATACCTGATTTTCTTGAGGAAAGAGTACTCAGTATCAAACTGCTGGAGTGATAGCAGCTGTACAGCATCCAGCTGTATCTGGTTCTGCAGCTGTTGAGTGTCTGTTGCAGTGAGTAACCTGGAAAAGGTTGTAACCTTGAAAATAGAAAAGAACCAAGAATGACAAAATGACAAAAAAAGACAAGCCACATTTTGTGTATTTTCATGTCTCCTTCATGTGTCATTATATGTAATTAATAAAGCATTCCACAAACTATTTGGTATTGTTTATACACAGTTTCAGGTTTTCCTCACATTTAGAAGGCCACGTGAAATTCTAACTGTCTTTTAACAAAACCAAATAAGAATTATACTGAAGCCTTAAAAAAATCTTAACTAGTGCTTCTACTTTCCATGATAATATGAAAGAATGAAAAAGCAAACTTGAAAAACCGTTAGCAGAAATAGTGTGAGAAATTAAGAGTATATTAAGTAAAAACTAGTTGTAATATGAAGAACATATTTTTCTTTAAAAACTTACTCTCAGTGCAAATAAAGAGTCCTGACATCAACCTGACATCAACACCCAACATATGCCCATAATGACACTTAATATTCCTTCTTTTGAACTAAAAATTATAGCAGTTTCAACGGGCCTAGAATTCAAGACAGATTATCAATACTTGGTTTAAACAAGTTACAAAGTTATTCGGTTGCTGTGTAATATTTGATAAAATAACAAAAAAATTACCTCAGTGAATAAGAAGTGTGACTGCTGGGGCTGCTGGATGTGATACACAATGTAGTCTCCCAGTGAACTGTGCCTTGCCTCTTTAACGTATTCTTGCATTAAATGCTCTCGTTCTGCATTAGGCAGTTTGGATTTGTCCAAACGAACAACTGAGTCCGGAGTGGCACAGTTGAGCAGAATGTCTTTGGCTTTGTTCAGAGTGACCTGAGCATCAGTCTCAGTACTCTCACACTCTGTTACTTGCATGACCACAGAGGAACAAGTGTCTGAGTGGTAGCCAATGAACACATCACTTGGATCATACTTCTTTTCTGAGGAGTAACTACTTAAGGAGACAAATTTATTGACCCATTTCTCCAGTTCTCTGGCAACAACCTTCTGTTCCTCTGTGAGGACAGTTTTGATGTCAAGGTAGTGTTTCTCCAACCTGTTAATGAGTGGTATTGGAAACTGCTCATAAACCACTTCCTTTTCTTCAATGACGATGAGCTTGAAGTTTTCGTGAACTCTGCATTTCACACGATGTGTTCCTAAACCAAGATCAATGTATTTTTGACCTCCGAGCGTCACATAGTACTGATTTAGAGCATCGTACAGGCTTTCATAAAGATTTTGAAGGTTGAGAAGCACAACTGTCTGTCCTGTCTCCATGCACACCTTGACACGATTTATGTTTCTGCAAATTTGTGTGTACTCCTGATCTTTCGGGAAACTTGACCCAAAGATTATCTCTGGGCAGATTTGATGAGAGCAGAATATCTGTTGAAGAATCTGAAGAGCTGCATAGTTTTTTGTGAGTAGCAAAAGATACCGGCTTTCCTCCATTTGGGAAGCTGGACAAATGCTTTTCTCAACCATATCAATAGTTGTGATATTAGTATTAGAAAAGTCAGTTCCGACTTCTGTGCTGAATATGTCAATTACATCATCATTATTTTTTCCGCTGAAGTTTCGCAGGACTGCTTCTGTGATTTGATCTGCTTTAGGAGGTTCATTAGATGTTTTGGTAATTGAAAATAACATTTTTATCAGACTGTAGAAATCCCGCAGACCAAAAAATCCGTTGCTTTCATCGCATACTGTCATATATGCTGTTGCAAATGGCTCAAAGAGACGATTAATCTTTTCAAGAACATGTTGATCAGAGGAACAGATTCCTCTGGCACTTTTGATGAGCTCTTGCTCATTTAAATCTCCACGGGACACAAAAATTCCACGATTCATCTTGGCAGGATCCAGTGCCCAGTTGGAAATTCCAATGAACCCAACCCTTTTATGAGGTTTTGGCTCATCATCAACACAACCCTCTTCCAGTAATGGGTGCAGTGCTTTCAGTGGCATTTTTGGTGAATCCTCAGCCAATCCAATCTCATCAAGAACAACTACTGAAATATATTCGTCTAGGTTTTTGCTTTCTTGAAAGCGGGCACATTGCTTAAATGTGTTAATGATTCCTTCTGGAGTTGAATGGGGGCTACACTGGAAAGACACCAGATGTATTTGCTTCAGCTTCTTGTAGAGGTCAGAATGTGATGTGGGACCTTGCATTGCATTTGCAACTAGAGTTTTAGACAGTGATTTGGAGCTTCCTGGTTTCCCAACAATAAACAGGGGAATTCTCAGTTCAATGCAGACCACCATCATGAAAAAGTTCTCTTTCAAAGCCTCATTTCTGGCAATCGTCTCACCCATGGGTACACCATTGAGTAGGAGATCCTGCATGAGTTCCATTTCCTGCAGTATTCTCTGTGGTGTATACTCATCGGGAAAAATTTGGCTGATAGTTTTCAGATATTTGTTTTTGCTCTCCAAACAGGACTGATAGCACATTCCAGTAGCCATCAAGAGTGACCAGAGTACTCTGTCACTGGCAGGTAGTTTTTTTTGTCTGTGTGATTGCTGCTGAAACAAGGCTTTTAGATCTTCAGCAAACATTGGGTGATTGTTGTAAAACCACAGAAATCCTTGCATGCAACGTTCAACATCTCTCAAACTGACAAAGCTACATTCATCTCTCCTCTCTCTCATGAACTTTTGTGATGATGATAAAACTTTAATTATTGTTGGGATATAGTTTTTGTCAATCGCGCTGGCCTTCGCCTGTCTTTGGACTATTTGTTCAATGTAGATTTGCTCTGTTGAGTCATTGAGTTGTCCAAAATCCCAAACAAGAGGTATCATGCTCGGTGGTAACACATGAACACGATACACAAGCTGGCGGAGAGGGATGGAGCCAAGTCTGTCTTCAGTCTCCTCAGCCCGAACCCGGTAACCCAGTCCTGATGCTTCCAGCCGCTTGATCATCTGGTCTGTATGTTTTCTGTAAGGGTTGCAGGCTGCAATAATATATAGCCCTGTATTAGAGCCAAGTTCTTCTCCCTGCACTGAGTTGTCACAGAGGATCTCCTTGATGCTATTAACGGCTTCTGTGGTGTTTGCCTCATCAAAGAAAAGAATTGAGTCAAGATCATGATTTTCTTTATTGGTCCTTGCAAGAGTTTCAGCTTCCTTCACTTTCTCATAAATCATTTCTGACGTAGTTCCTCCATGAACTTTGACCAGTTTCATGTTTTCTGCTGGTGCTCCACATCTTCTTAGTTCACACATAAATTTTATCAGCCTTGTTTTACCGCATCCTGTCTCCCCCATTATGATGACAGGAATGCCACACCTGAATCTCATATGAATTGCCATCATTTTGAGGATATTGTCAGTGGTCAGTTCATATGTTTCATCAGGATCTGTTGGCCACTTGACGCCAAGCACACTGCACAGATGCTCAATCTTGTCAGCTCTAGGAAACTGATCAAAGTCTGTATTAAAAGGAACTCTCTGAAGTTTTAAGCCATTGTACAGCCGTCGAGTCATGATGTTTTTCTTAATCACTTCTTTTGTCAAAGGATTTACCGCATCAAACCCTTTCTGGTTATTGGGCTTAAGGTGAAATCCAATGAATGTCATGGACATGTGGTCATCATTAAAAAAGATGTATGGATGTGGCTCTGATTCCCACCTTTTTCTAATGAGGAATGGGGCTAAATCTTTTTCTTTTAGTCCACTGATGTCAACTTGTTGCTTCCCTGGGCTCTGGTCAGTGATGCATAGTGATGGTGTTGCAAAGTCTTTGGACATCAAGATCATGAACTCAACCACAAAGTTTTTGAACCCACAAAGAGTGTCTCCAACCAACTCAAATTTGCAGAAATCCGAATTCTCACAGTCTTTCAACTGAAGATTAAGGAACCACACAAAGTTACGCAGCTCTGCCCATGATGGATCGATTATACCACAATAGATTAAGAGTATCTGAAGACACTTTGCATGAGTCCCTTCAGTACCCTGGAACGTGAAGTTGTCAAGATTGTCCTTATTGTGAAAATGTGTGAGGTACTGGTATGGCCTTTGATAAGCTTCACTTCTGAAACATTCATCATCCATCAGGGGGCCACCACAGTCCATGTCTGGATTTTCTTCTTTTTGCATTTCCAAAGCCATAACCTTTTTTGGTGGGTGGCAAAACACCTTTGGGAAAACATCTGAGAATGCAAAGTTTTCCTTTCGTCCCTAAAAGTATATAAATATATAATTAAGTTTAGAACATTCAGGTCTATTCTCAATCTTAATATCATCTTCTCCTACAAGCTGCAAATCGCAAGTTCAGCAATTATCTGTATATAAACTGTACAAGCAGTAAAATCTCCACTCACTGATCTGGTGGCACATCTGTTCTGATCATTTGTGGACTCCAGTAACTCAATAACATATAAGTGGTTCTGGCTGCATTGCCACATCTGTCCATTTGAATCCATCAGGTACCGCAAAAAGAAAAGCTTGAATATGAATTCATTCAGGCCCTTTTGCACCTATAAACAACGTATGAGAAAAAAAAAATCGGTATTACTAGATAAAGCAATTTATGACTAGCTAAGGGATTCTCAAAGAATCAAAATTTAGATTTAAATTGAATAATTTCATAAATATTAGCACTTTTACTATGGCTACTTAAAAATTACTTACTGAAGATGTGACATCAAAGTGAAACACCTTAATATCTTTTTGTTTTGGTGTGTCATATAAAAACTGGAGAATCTTGTGGTCGTCAACTTCATGTTCAGTTAGCCTGATGCACTTCTTAAATGGCATTCCTTGTGTGGCACATTTCTTTAGCTTTTCATACAGTCTTTGGACATACAGTGACTTGCCTAAAATGGTAGAATAACAATCTATTAACTGGTTGACAGAAATCATGTCAATAATTGTATTTTTCACACAACGCAAGATACAATTCAGTACCCTGTTTTCTATATACTATAAATATTGCAAACTTATAATATTTATTGTAAAACTTATTTCAAAGATATTTGCATTTGTTGTCAGCATTAAAGTAACTGCTAAGCATTACATACATTTTAAAGTAAAATAACTGAAATCTGAAAGTTGCTGTATGCTGTGTAGACAACTATGTACATTAAATTACAACAAACATGCTTTAAGATGGATTTTAAAGGAGTGTACCTTTAACAAAATTACATGGGGTTCCCTAAAAAATATGTGATAAAGGAACTACATATTGTCTTTATCTATAGTAGATGATATTGCAAAATGCATGAATAAAACCTTATTAAAGTCTGGATTAAAGCTTTTAGAGCAAATTTATGCATAAACGTAAAAAGAGATGTATTTTTTAAGGTTTTATTGATGTCCTATCTTAACAATTATTTTACATAATGGATTGAAGGAGAGAAAGTCACATTTAAAACTCACCTACTCCTGCCCGACTGGAAGCAACAATACCCAAAGAATGTCCACCTTTGAACACAGCATTCTTGTAATCTGAAGTAACTGTGTAATGCCTGGACAAATACTGTTGGATCTTTTCCAGTGGCTCCTGTGGCACGAAGTCTGTTTTGTACTGACTGAATGCAGTAGGAATGTAAGTATGCTCCCTGTCAGAGCTGCAAAAGATCACTAGTCTGTAATCATTTTTAGGGGAGCACAATTTCTGAAAACATTTCTCCATTGCACAGCTAACATCATAGGAAAGTTGGTCTGCCCAGAGCATCGAGTAAATATTTCTGCCAGTGTCACCTGGTGTGAGACATCTTCTCAGAAAAAGCTCTACTTGTTCATAAGATGTTGAAGGGGAACACAAGAGCACTTCATCATAAGTTGGCAATGGCTCAAAGTCACTGGTCATGTACAAGCAGATACTTGATGTCAGGACCTCATCATGTGGGCAGATTATGAGATTAGGTTGTTTTGAGTTTAGGCCTTTTGGAAACTCCCTTCTGAGTGAACAGTCTCTCATCTCTGAGAGTTCTGGTTCCGCTTCCCACTCATTCTGATTTCGGTTTTCTGTCATCAATTGTAAGAGACGTCCTAAACTCCTAATGTCTAGTAGGTCATGAAAAAATATTTCCTCATTCTTCATGTAGCCATTCCACAACTCCTCCAATTCTTTCAAAACAAGAGTCTGGTCTGCCTCATCTGCTGCGTCACTTTCATGTGCAAAATGAATAACACTGTGTGAAGATGAATCCCTGTGTTCATTATCCCTTTTGCCATATTGGTTATAAAACCTTCTCCAAATACTCTGGACATCTAATGTTGTGCAGTTTGGTTTGATAAAAGAAAGCATCATCAGTGCTCTGTCTTCTATTTCTGTATTTATATTTGTTGGAGTCAAAACGCTGCACAAGTAGAATATTTGTTGTGCTGTGAAATAGTTCAAGTAGTAGTGGTTAAATCTCTGTGTGTCCATGAAGTTTTGCCAGGCTCCAAGAAACATTTCCATCTTCTTGGACAGAGCTACAAGCTGTTCAGGTAAACTTCCAGTTACTTTGAAGCAATACTGGGTTTTGCAAAACTTGATTTCCATAATGATACATGGGTCACTCTGAGTTTTGCAATAAATCTTAGCTTCCCAACACCTAAAAATTGGGTTCCCTGCAGTGTAAATGTCTACAAATGCTTTGGCGAATCTTTGGATGTTGTCAAACATCTGAATATGAAGAAGAAATTAGATTACAGGTGACATAAAAATATAAGCTATTGTTAAAACATCAATGTAGCAAATGATAACAAAATCATACCTCAGTGAAGCGCTCCACTTCGCTCTGGTTCTGTTGTTTTTTTCCAGACATCAGCATAAGCTTATTTTGCAGCTCTTTGAGGTCCTCATAGGTATATGTCATGTTTGCATGTCCATCCTCAATTTGCATGGTCAGTGAATTCTCCAAAGCAATCTATAAAGGGAAGAATCAAAAATGATTACTGTAGAAGTGTGTTTGTCCTTCGACCGAGAAACTATGATACCATTAGTACAGTGAAAGGTTAACAGGAAAATCAGCTTAAAGGGGAACTTATCTAAAAAATGTGTTGTTAAAATATGTTTGTTTCTTAGAATTTATAATAATAATTTAATATAATACTCAAATAAAATTACAAAGAAATTCACATAAAAGGTGACACTTACTATTACAAGAAAAAGTTTTACAATGTTTTATTGTAAAACTAATTTTTATTCTAAAACTATATTTTATTTATTTTGAAATTATACAACACTGACATGTAATTCATTTGTGTACCTTTTTCTGGTTTTGTGCCTTGATAAAATATATTCCCCTTTCATTGATGGATGTAGCCAGAGACAGAGATGAAAATTCAACAGATCCATGGCTTTCTCTAACAGTTGTTAACCAGTCCAGGTGGCGTGAAGTATCCCGCTGAAATGAGACATCAAACAAAACAATTTATGTACTTCTAGGTGGACTAAATGTTTTCATAAATGTCCAATAAAATAACTGAAGATGAGTTAACTGGAAATATGTATTCCAGATTACGGACATGGTAAATCAAAAGAGATAACCCGAGCAAATACGGGTCTTTCACAAGGTGACATATCACAGACTGTAGTTTTTCTTTTTATGTACTTGGTTTGTGGCAGTGGTTTAGTAATTATTTTGCTGTATACTGACTTCCAAATAAATCCTTTTATTGAGAAGGCTTCCTTCCCAAAATAATGCCTTAATTTGTGTAATCTACATTATTTGGATTTGCTATTTGACTGCTCCCACTCCTGATGAAGGTGAGGATGAGTAGTATTGTAGCCACTTTGGCATTCAGAATCAGTTAAGTAATAAGAGTATTATTGTGCCACATTAAATTATATTTGGCAAACCTGAAAGAATTGGGCAAGAGACCATTTTTAAAGAAGTCACTGTACATGTTCAACAACGGGCCAGCTAAAATTTCTTGGGATTCTCTATAAAACTCAGCACATAAACTGTCTGGTCCCGCTACTTTACTCACAAGCATTTTAAAAAGGAATAATCTTTTTTTAACATTGAGGAGAGAATTCCGTGTTTTTCCACAGTCCAGTTTGCAATCTGTAAATTCAGTGGACTCTTTCAAAAAGCAGCTGAAAACGTATCCTTTTAAATTGACAGTCAGGCTATAGTTTTTCACTTTTTTGGTGTCATTTTATTCCTGGTCTAATGTTTTTTGCATTGTTGGTTTTATTTACAGAGAGATGCCTTTTGATTTTTTGAAAGTCACTCTATAAATAAATAAATGTACTTACTAAGCCCATATAGAAAAGTCTAAGGAGCTTGGAAAGAAAAGCTTTACTGAGTGAATGGATTAAATGCAGAGAGAATAATTTCCCCAAGGGAATCAATAAAGTATACATTATCATTATTATTAAAGGAAGCCCTTAAAACATGTAATCTTTGCTGACTCATCAAGTCAGCAAAGATGCACAGAAAAGAAGGTCAGACACCATCTAGGGAAGATCAGAAAGACAAAGCAACAATGTTGTCATCCCCTATGTAGCTGGTTTATCAGGAAAAACTCAGGGGAGTCTTTTCCAAGCATGACATCCCAGTGTACTTCAGACCCAGCCACAAACTCAGAAAAAAAAAAAACAGGTTCATCCCAAAGACAAAACTCCTAAACACAAACTTAATAATGTAGTGTATGCTGTACAGTGTAATGAGGAATGCTCAGACCTCTACATTGGAGTGACCAAACAACCACGTCATAAACGCATGGCACAACATTGAAGAGCCACCTCCACAGGACAAGACTTGGCTTTCTGTCTACATCTAAAGGACAAAGGTCACTCTTTCAAGGATAGGGGTCTATGTCCCTCTTGAAGGACACTCCCCTAGGAGCTAAATCTGGGACTCTCCACCAATTGACCTTAGAACTGAAGAAGCGTCTTGGATGAGCGGTGACATGTCTTCAAGCAACTTAAAGAAGTCCAGACACTTTTCTTTCCAAGTTCCTTAGACCACGATGACCTGGATGACTGAGAACCTTCACAGCCCATATAGCAAAATTCATCCACAGTAGTCAGACCGTTCCTTAACTAAATCCAACCTCAGACTACTGATTATATTGTTAATATAGATTAGTATCAGTAATATCTATATTAAGAAATATCTTTTAAATACCCTATGATATTTGAAGGAAGCAAGGTTTTTAATTTTTTAACAGCTTCAGTGATAAATCAGGACATTTTCTTAATGTTAGTACTTCTATCCATTTATAGCAGTGATGTTAGTTATATTTCATAAAGGAAGGTCTTACCAGCTTTTTTGGTATATTATGGTCATTATCAAGTGCCTTCCACAATTTTTTTAACGATTCATTGAACTTCGCAAAATCAGAATCCTGCTTCAGATCATACAGCATGGATGAGTAACCAAGAACAGCATCATGAAGACAGGCCACTCGATCGACATCCATATCATTTTCTCCAGCAGAGATTGATGCCAGGTCAACAAACACTTTCAGCTCATTGATGTCTGCAGTTACAAGTATTCTTTAGTTGTTATGAAATCCTATATTTAATTGTTAATGATAAAAAAAAAGAATATTTTATACCTTTAAGTTCTTTTTTAATCCACTGGATAAAATCTTTACTCTGGAGGAATTTTTGAAGACATTCCTTGCGACTGTCTGTAATGCCTTTAAGAATATTTTTTGCATTTATGAAAGCATCATCAATGCAGTTCAGGTTGTTTTTCTTGAAGCTGGAGTCATTCTGAAAAATATACAATGATATTAAATCCCACAAAAATGTATTTTATAGAAGAGTATTTATACCCCCAAATAAATGTTTTATGATGGTTGTTTAGATCACACACATTTCATGTCTGTCATTCTTTTAGAATATTTTACATCTGAGAACAAGATCAAAATGATTTTTAACAGTGTCTGTTGTTCAACATGATCACTAATGGATTTATCTTAATAACTCAATTATATAATATATATCAAGAATATATTTTCTTCAGCTGAACATGACTGGATTCATCCATCAAAGGAGTCAAAAGTAAGTCAAATGTGAATATTTTGCAGGTAAGGGCTAGAGTTTCTTTCAATTACCTTGTTTTTAATAATATTAAGTAATTTTAAACATACCATTTGCAGCAACCTCTCCAGTACACTGAAGTCCCCTTCTGGACATAGCATGCTTTTGATGTCCTCAATGATTTTGGAAGATTCAACTGCTAGATGAACATCCTGGTATTGCTGAATTTGGTTAACCCTTTCTTTGATCCATGTTCTGTTATCAGATGTGTCTACTCTGCACATGATATCTAAGTCCTTTTTCAAGTTTTCACACTTTCCTTTATAGCCTTCAAAGATGTTGTCAATTTCTTCCAATAGAAGTTCTCCACTCTTTAGACTATCATAAAGCTTTTTGTAATTGTTGTAGCAGCTCTGAAATATTTTGTTGTAGACCTGGTCAAGGGTATAGATTTCTTCATTTCTATCAGTGTTATCTGTATCCGATTGGTCTCTTGATAGCTCCTCCACTTGGTTTTTCCAGCATGTTCTGAAGATCATGCTGTCTTTGATGGCATTCAGTTCTGAAGCCATTTGGCAGGTTGTATCACACAGATTGAAATAAGTGACATTTACGGATGTAGGAGAGATCAGTCCATCGAGAGTGCGGACCTTCATAAATTCATTCAGTTTCATTGTATCTGTGTTCTGATCAAGCTTTTTGTCCAATCCATTGAAATCAACTGTGGAAAAGATGTAAGCATAAAAATTACTGTGAAAATATAACACCAAAAATTATTTTCCCAGTCCTTTCCTAGTTTAATTATTTCTAGACCCAAAGAGTTCATTATTCACTCTTTCAATATGAAGTAGCAACAGCCTTTTAAGATCAATAGAATTCCTCCTGAATTCGGTCCTTCCAGAGGCTCCTATATGGATCTATTTATTTTTACAGTGTTAAAAAAATGAATGTCCACACTTCTAATGAAAAACTACTAAGATATGTTCTTCTTACCCAAAACAATGAATTGGTTCTATAAACATTCAGGGTGAGGTCTTAGAAAAGAGTTTCAGGACACAGCAGAAGCTCTGGCACCACATTGACACCCTTGAACCATCCCAGGCCAAATGCATGCTCACATACCCTCTCCCAGTAATATGAACAAGCAAAATAAAACATTCGATTGGAAACTGTCACTGCCGTATCCGACGCAATAAAATCATTCTTTTGTAAATCATGTTAGCATGTTTTATTTAAATGTTCTTCAAAACGTTTGGCTTTTGAAAAGCTAAATTCTATTCCAGGCATAAAAGAACCTGTGCCCACACCTTTCATTGCAAAACTGACATTATGCCTCCTTGGAAAATCCTGAGAATAACTTTATAACACGAAAAAAATGCTTTATGTTCATGTAGACCATTGGTAAATTTGTCCCAGAGGTATTCTTTTTTAAAAAAAAAAAAATCTCTATCATTGAGGAGATATCAGACCTTTTTTTTTTCTGCAGTCTTATCTAGAACAGGGCCAAAAGCTCCATCACCACCTTAACAGCACCTGATGTGCAGGAGTACTCAGAGAAAACCCACAGAGTCATACAGAAAAGCTTCCACTGAACAGGGAGGTTTAAACTGTGAACCTTTTACTCTGAGATGATAGTTGTAACAATTAAATAAAAAGAGTATAATGATATAAAAATATAATAGTAAAAATTTAGTTCTGAAAATGCTGGGACCTTTTCACCAACTGCAAACCGTCGAAGCATCATGAAACAAAAGCTACAGCAAAGAAGACTGCTGAGCAGTTAGAATACTATGTAAGACAAAAATTTAATAACATTCCTCTCCCAAAAGTCCAGCCGCTGGTCTTCTTAGTTCCCAGACATTTACAGTTAAAAGAAGACCAGATGGTGCACACTTTCCCAAATTTTTGAGATGTGTTGCTGCCATCAAATTAAAAATAAGCTAATATTTTTCCTAATATTGTACACTTTCTCAGTGTAAACATTTGATATGTTTTATATCTACTGTAAACAAAATATAGGTTTTGTTCTTTGATTTTATTTACATTTTACAGGGCATCTCAACATTTTTGGAATTTAGTTTGCAAGCTTCTTTTTTTCTCAGTTTGCTAGCACCACCCACCTTTCACATGCTCTGGAACGTCCTGGCACATTTGCAGAAGACTTTTGACCCGCTCCTTTTCAGTATTCACTGCCGCTGCTTCTTCTTCCCTCAGTCTTAGTAATGTTTTCATGTTTTGCTCATCTTTGCAGCGACCATCATCACATAGACCATCTGGAGAAGCATAAACACTTTGATGACCAGAAATATAGATAAATAAGGTAATGCTCCATAATACATAACACAACTGAAATTTTGTTATCATTTTACTTGTACATTTCCTGCCACACACACACACACACACACACACACACACACACACACACACACACACACACACACACACACACACACCTCTTTGTATTCCTGGGTTGTGAATTAAACAGATTAGAAACCATTTATTCAGTAAATATGCAAATATCTTTGTTTACCTAGATTTTATCAAATAGACCATTCAAACTTCTGCTGATTTTAAAGAACATTGGCTGTTATTAATTTGTTCGTGGTACTGGGAGCAATAACACGCTTTACATTTTATGTGAAACTGCAATGTAACTGTAGAGAGTTTATTCATGTAACATCATTTTTAAAATTGCAAATTGTGTTACTAAATTCAAATGTCTAGATAACTTTCATTTCATACTTTGGGATGTGTTGTAGAAGGTGAAATAATAATAATATTAATAACAATAAAACAAATCAAACACAAAACAACAAAAACCCTTCAGAGGAAAAGAGTAGTGCACAGAAACAATCTGAAGTAATGGGAAGTAGACAAAAGAGTGAAGAAAAGAAAGAGGAATGCTAAGCAGAACTGGCAGAAGTAGATAGATATTCGTATTCACCTGTCTTCAGCAAATCAAGAAATTCACGTTTTCTCTGGAAAATGTGAAGTAGAGCTTTAAACTGAATGTCTCCATTGAGGAACTTTTCTGATACAGATTTGAATGCTGAAGCCCCCAAAGCTATCATGGTTTGTGCTTCATCTGAAAATGATTCAACCAATCCCTCTCTAGCACCTGGAAAACAAGAGTACAAAAACCCAAACACATTTTACTGACTTTTTAGATAAAATAAAATGAAAGTCTGTTTATGGCTTTCTACATTTATTTTCTAAAATTTGTTAAATAGATATACTACACAAATAACACATCCAGCCTTACAAACCCACAGCCTGGCATTTACGTTCACATATTTATGTAAAATATAATATAAACATGAAATGGGCACTACACAGAAATGTGCAATTAATATTATGTTAGAGAGTAACAATAATCTAGACATTAATAAAGAGTAGTAGTACATTTTTTTTTCAATTTTAAAGTTTACCTGCCAACTGGAAGATAGTTTTGGCCATGGGCCAGTTCATAAGATACTCAAATATTGAGTCTTCGCCTTGAATGTACTCTCCATTGACTTTGGGCCATGACTCCACCACAACAACAGACATGAGCTTCAGAAACTTTGTGATATTATGTCTTTTCAAAAGATTCAACACCCCTTCACCAGATTTATCCTAAGCAGAAAAAAGGGAATAGGTTAATGTGTGTGTGTGTTAATATGAATTTATAACTTTTTCTATTAACCCCCCCCCCCCCCCCCCCTCTCAATTTCCATTGAATGTACAATAATATCATGTGAAATTAATAAGCATTTTTCAAAATTTTTTGAAATCATACCTGGCAAATATGTGCAGCAGCCTCCATTGCACAGTTCTCCATTATGCTGCATAATGATGGACATGTATTGCTCGCCTTTTCCATTGTGGTACAGTATATTCCAATTTGATTTACATAATTTTCCTAGCACACAAGCACATATCATCAATATGTTTTTCAGGTGCACATGCAATGATGACAACTCAAATAAAAATTCATTCTTACTTTTTTCAGTTTGCCTTCAAAATCCTTCATGAATGTACTTCTCCAGTTTTTAGTGTGTTCCTCACGACTAAAAGATACTGTCAGGATATTGCTCCATACCTACAAAAAAGATGTGCATTTTAATAGATTATTGCAGTGTCCACTAATAGGCATGTTAACTTGTGCTTGATAAAAAAAAGTATGAAAATGTGAAACTCTGAAATTACAGTCCAGGAAACAAAAGACTTAAACTGCTCAAATTTCACAGAAGATTGTCTGATACCACCACCACCAATTGCAGTGGCATTAGACTTAGATGCTTGACAGTAACAACTGGTCCTAGTATTTACTGTTTTTTTTTTTTTACTGTATTTACTGTTTGTTTATTGTTTGTTTGTTGCTATATTTAAAATGATAAATGACTTGAAATGATTCTGAAAAAGGAGAGGCGAGGTAAAAAATTTTTTTCATGAAATTCGTTTGATTTTAGTTCTCTTTTTTCAAAAACGAATTCATAGTTGTAGTTATGTCAGGCTCTTTTTATATGTGTAAAACAATGGCTTAGAGCAGACTGTAAGCCTAAATAAGGATCAAGTCCACACTTGATCCGTACTTTAATGCACCTATCACACATGCTATTCTTGTAGAAAAAAAATATTGTATTAATGTGCTTTACTTCACAGAAAATAAATGTGGTACACATTTAATTAAAAACAAAAATGAAGCAAAACAAAAGCAATTAAAAGCAAAATGAGACTATTGTTCACTTGCTTTGGTCCCCAACTATGAAGATGTTTTGAGATGGGCAAAGATGAGGCCACAAGGTATATATAAACTACCGGTCATATTTTTCAACACATCTTCTCCTTTAATCCCCAAAAGTTCATTTTGTTCATCTGGACGTAGTGTTTTCAGTGGGAGAAATGTTTCGTCACTCATCATTAATATCCAGAGAATTTACATATTAATGATCAAGCAACTGACCTCCCATCCCATTTTTCTTTCAGTGGTGCAGGTTTCAGTCATTATGCAAATGTACTGTTTATAAGACTGGGGAAACCTGCAGTCAGCTGAGACTGAAGAAGTCACTTGGATGAGTGACGAAACATTTCTCCCACTGAAAACGTCCAGATGAATAAAATCAACTTTTGCAGATTTACTTCCCTGGATGATTGAGCATGAATCAAGACCTTCTCCTTTTATGTTTCTTCTTGATTTTCATGACTATTTACATTGTAGATTCTTACTGAAGGCAACAAGACTATGAATGAACACATGTGGAATTATGCAGTAAACAAAAAAAGTGAAATAACTCAAAACATGTTTAATATTTTAGGTTTTTCAAAATAGCCACTCTTTGCTTTGATTGCATTGCACACTCTTAGCATTCTCTCTCTCTGAGCTTCATGAGGTCGTCACTTGAAATGGTTTTCCAACAGTCTTGAAAGAGTTCCCAGAGATCCTGAGCACTTGTTGGTCCTTTTGGCCCTTTTGCCTTCACTCTTCACTCTCATCCCAAATCATCTCGATTGGGTTTAGGTCAGGTGACTGTGGAGGCCAGGCCACGGTGCAGCACTCCATCATCCTCCTTCTTGGTCATGGCCTAGAGGTGTGTTTGAGGTCATTGTCCTGTTGAAAAATAAATGATGGTCCAACTAAACCAAACCGGATGGGATGGAGAATGCTGTGGTAGCCATGCTGGTTCAGTGTGCCTTCAGTTTTCAATAAATCCCCAACAGTGGTGCCAGCAAAGCACCCCCTACACCAACTCTGTGTAGCATTCATCTGGGTTTTAATCTGAGGTGCGATTTCTGAGGCTGGTGATGAATTTATCCTCAGCAGCAGAGATGAGTCTTGGTCTTCCTTTCCTGGGGTGGTCCTCATGCAAGCCAGTTCCATTTTTGACGGTTGTTTCAACTGCACTTGGGGACACATTCAAAGTTTGAGCAATTTTCCAGACTAACTGACCTTCTGTTGCTAAAGTAATGATGGACTGTCATTTCTCTTTACTTAGCTGGTTGGTTCTTGCCATAATGTGAATTCTAAGAGTTATCTAATAGGGCTGTCAGCTGTTTACCAACCTCACTTCTGCACAACACAACTGATGGTCCCAACCCCATTAAGAAGGCAACAAATTCCACAAACAAACCCTGACAAGGCACACCTTTGAAGTGAAACCATTTCAGGACTACATCATGAAGCTCACTGAGAGAAGGCAGAGGCTTTGCAGTGCTGTCAACAAAACAAAGGGTGGCTACTTTGAGGAATGTAAAATATAAAACATATTTAGATTTATTTATCTTCTTTTTCTTTGCTACATAAGTCCACATATCTTGCTTCATATCTTTGATGTCTTCAGTTTGTATCTACAATGTAGAAAGTAGTAAAAATTAAGACAAACCATTAAATGAGAAGGTGTGTCCAAACCTTTGACTGTTAGTGTACATTGATTCCCTCGTTTTTGTTTTGTAAGATGAGCTATATCTAAGTTCACTATAAAGTGGCTACTGTGCTGAGCAGAAAAGTCATAAATTATTTTTATGACACCATAACAGAGAACAAGATTACTCAATTTCTACTTACCTTTATTTCATTGGGTACAGAAAAGTGCAAATGATTCCATTCATTGAGCAGTTTATTACTGAAAGTATTTCTTCGCCACTTCCTCATTGTTTCTAATGTCTCCCAAAATGACTCTTCCTGAATTCGTTCTTTTGTCTGTAACAGTTGTAAATTTCTTTATGAAATAAAATAAACTAAACGCTGTCAATGTGATAAATCTACATTTGTATTTAAGCATTAGAATTGAAGTATTCTTTGAATTTTGAGGTTTAGCTAAAAGAAACATAAAGACATTTTGCTCATACGGTAGTCCAACTGACTAACAAGCAGCTCTGACCTGGGAATCATTGTGGCCGTAGACCTTGGCTATCAGACAGACTAGTTCAAGGAAGTGGAGAGGAAGGTCAGAGTCATTTGGACCTTTTGTGAAATTACAGACAGAACCAAGAAGCATTACTGCAGTTTTCAGGCAGCACTCTCCATCTCTGTCATCAAAACTATGGGAAGAAAACATTACATTATTGTTTGAGGAAAGACTGCTATCAGCACTGACGCTGAAAATCAATATTGATCCTTCTTCAGAGATACTGGGTTATAATGAAAGACAGAGGCTTTTTATTGTACCTGTTATTTTGGCGACTTTCTCTTTTGATGACATGGGATGTCAAATTTTTCAGAACCTGTAATCAGAATCATAGAAGATATTAACTGAATGTGAAGACACATAGCTGTTAAAGGCAACAACACACATGCCACTGGATATAAAATCTAGAGACTTCAGCTCCTGCTCCTATTCTGAAATACAGGGAGTGCAGAATTATTAGGCAAATGAGTATTTTGTCCACATCATCCTCTTCATGCATGTTGTCTTACTCCAAGCTGTATAGGCTCGAAAGCCTACTACCAATTAAGCATATTAGATGATGTGCATCTCTGTAATGAGAAGGGGTGTGGTCTAATGACATCAACACCCTATATCAGGTGTGCATAATTATTAGGCAACGTCCTTTCCTTTGGCAAAATGGGTCAAAAGAAGGACTTGACAGGCTCAGAAAAGTCAAAAATAGTGAGATATCTTGCAGAGGGATGCAGCAGTCTCAAAATTGCAAATCTTCTGAAGCGTGATCATCAAACAATCAAGCGTTTCATTCAAAATAGTCAACAGGGTCGCAAGAAGCGTGTGGAAAAACCAAGGCGCAAAATAACTGCCCATGAACTGAGAAAAGTCAAGCGTGCAGCTGCCAAGATGCCACTTCCCACCAGTTTGGCCATATTTCAGAGCTGCAACATCACTGGAGTGCCCAAAAGCACAAGGTGTGCAATACTCAGAGACATGGCCAAGGTAAGAAAGGCTGAAAGACGACCACCACTGAACAAGACACACAAGCTGAAACGTCAAGACTGGGCCAAGAAATATCTCAAGACTGATTTTTCTAAGGTTTTATGGACTGATGAAATGAGAGTAAGTCTTGATGGGCCAAATGGATGGGCCCGTGGCTGGATTGGTAAAGGGCAGAGAGCTCCAGTCCGACTCAGACGCCAGCAAGGTGGAGGTGGAGTACTGGTTTGGGCTGGTATCATCAAAGATGAGCTTGTGGGGCCTTTTCTGGTTGAGGATGGAGTCAAGCTCACTCCCAGTCCTACTGCCAGTTTCTGGAAGACACCTTCTTCAAGCAGTGGTACAGGAAGAAGTCTGCATCCTTCAAGAAAAACATGATTTTCATGCAGGACAATGCTCCATCACACGCGTCCAAATACTCCACAGCGTGGCTGGCAAGAAAGGGTATAAAAGAAGAAAAACTAATGACATGGCCACCTTGTTCACCTGATCTGAACCCCATTGAGAACCTGTGGTCCATCATCAAATGTGAGGTTTACAAGGAGGGAAAACAGTACACCTCTCTGAACAGTGTCTGGGAGGCTGTGGTTGGTGCTGCACGCAATGTTGATGGTGAACAGATCAAAACACTGACAGAATCCATGGATGGCAGGCGTTTGAGTGTCCTTGCAAAGAAAGGTGGCTATATTGGTTGCTGATTTGTTTTTGTTTTGTTTTTGAATGTCAGAAATGTATATTTGTGAATGTGGAGATGTTATATTGGTTTCACTGGTAAAAATAAATAATTGAAATGGGTATATATTTGTTTTTTGTTAAGTTGCCTAATAATTATGCACAGTAATAGTCACCTGCACACACAGATATCCCCCTAAAATAGCTAAAACTAAAAACAAACTAAAAACTACTTCCAAAAACATTCAGCTTTGATATTAATGAGTTTTTTGGGTTCATTGAGAACATGGTTGTTGTTCAATAATAAAATTATTCCTCAAAAATACAACTTGCCTAATAATTCTGCACTCCCTATATATCACGAGACAAGGCACTTTAGCCAGTCACAGGTCTTTGCATATCAGAATAGTTGAGTGCTATAAATAAATTTAACCAATAAATCTGCATAATAAAACATTCATTTGCGAAATGGATTACAGTGAGAACTTGGCAGAGGAGGATTATAACCCTGTATTAAATCAAAAGTCAGTGTTGACTTTCATTTTTGGAGTTGCTACTTGGGTTTAGAATTTTTTTTGTTTCATTTTATTTTTAATTATTTATGTTATCTATGTATTTTGTCTGGCTTGGGGGAGTTTTGAACACAACACTCAGTCTCTTGTCACATAGCAGACATAAACCCCCTCACAAAAACTAGAATTTTTTTTTTTCATATTAAAAACAGCCACAGTCAAAATAATAATTAATAATATTAACTAATTATAAAATGCTATTAATTTAAAATTGATTAATTAATAATAATTAATTAAATAGTATTATTAATTAATAATTTATTTCTATAGAACTGAGGGAAGCTACATGACGTGACAACAATTTAATTTTATACAGCCAAGTATTACTTAGTTCTATAATATTAAATATAAGTAAAACTTGATATTAATATTAATTTTAATTTCACTTTGCTATTTATTACTCTGTTATTATAAAAACAAAATAACTGTTTTAAGAATATTTACCTTGTACATGGGTTGAGTTATGCCAGATTTGATGTTGAACTGCAAATATTGAAGAATGTCTCGAAGTTCAACTCTCACACTGGACATGAAGCTCATTAGGTCATCCACCCGTATGAGACACATCCAAGAGTGCACAAGAAGATGATCAATGTCTATCAGGTAGTCATGTTCTTCCATGATCTCAATCCAATTTCTAGTTAAAGGGGTTAGGGTCAGAGCAGAAAAAATGGGACCAGACAAATTTAATTACATTTTAACATCTTTATGGGGGATAAGCACTTACTGTGCGTAGCTGGGTACTTTGATTCCCCTCAAGCCTCTCCAAGATTCAGATTGTGGATTCAAGACTGGGGAAACTGGCTCAAATGGTTTGCTTTCTCCTCTCAGTAGATGAATCAGAGGGATGACCAAGACCCACTTCTCAATATGGTGTGTTATAGCAGTGTGGCAAAGGTTCTCCAGTGCATCTGCAACTCTGTATATGCAGCGAAATCAGCAAACATACAAGACCAGCAAAAAATTCACATAATACAGGACAGGAGACATTCATTTTTCCAGATATTTTAACAGGAGCACTACACTGGAAAACCCAAAACATTGTTTGTTGCACCAGTCCAATCAGGTCCAATCAGGTTGATCAGATTGTAATAATGTAATGTGTATGTGTTAGTCCCCGTAGGGAAATTGACGATAACGGATAAATTGCGGCTTTGTAACTATTGTATATAAACAAACACATTTTATAATGTTTTAGTAAATTTAGACTTTAAACTGGTTTGTTCTTGTCTCCCATATTATCTTTGTAAAAACACAATCATTGTCACAATGTTTATGCTTAAAAATAAACCACACACTAATTACCTTTTTTTATCTGTCAAAGGATTTGCAAAGTTTTCCCAGAAAGTGGCAAACTGGCCCTGCGCCAATTCAGGCAGGCAAAGAAGACGGCATAGAATGGAAAGTTTATCTCTCATGCTGTCCTTCAGATACTTGTTGTAAACAAGCAAACCAATAATCCCTGCATGGAGATTTGGTAGCAAGGATTGTACTGTTTCACTTTTCTTTCTGGCCCTAAAACCAATAATTTCCTCTAGAAACTTTTTTAGAAGGTATTTAATCTGGAAAAGGCAAAGGGTGAATATCAGAAAACATGGGAACATTGGAAAACATTCAGTACTTTATCTTATACTGTTGGATTATGGATGTAATATGTTGAAACATAAAACATAAAACACAACATAAAACACGTCATTTACCTGTTCTGAGCCATATGGTAATCCCCACTGTTTTTCCATACCATCATGAAGTAGAGGATAAGTGTATGTATGAATGAACTGTTGCAGCAGGAGAAAGAAGTTTTCTACATTTTGTTCATTCCAGGTTGTGAGAAGATCAAAGATTATTTTTAACATCTCCCAGCCAGCTTGGTCTCTCCCTTCCATCACAGTTTTTTTTGCAGTATTCCAGTACCAGGCAGTGTTTAATTTGGGATGGATCATATCATCATATTGATGCCATTCACCTTTGAAGCACAAAATATGCCAAGTTTAGTAATGGTTAAATGTATTATTCAGTTGGTCCATTCATACTTTTGGGGGCATATAAGATTAGAACATTTAGGCTTGTGCATATTGAATTTTAATAACCACAGAACTTTATATACTTTCTTTAGTTTCTAGTCCCTAGGTTTCTGTTATTGTGCCTCCCCTGTATTCCGCGTTTATGTCTAGTCTCTCTTGTCTCTATGTTCGTGCATCTCCTGTGTCCCCAGTCAGTCATGTCTACTTGTCTCAGTGTCAAGACCAATGACTTTCTACAGTCATTGGTCAAGACCATGTCTCTTTGTTGGTCTCATGTTTCCTGTTTTACTTCGACAGTCCCTCGTCCTATGTTTACTGTATTCAGTTTTGCATCCTCCCTGTCTTGTTTTGTCAGATTAGTCTCAGCTACGTTTCCCTCCTGTGTTTCATTCCCTTGTTATCCTTGGTGTATTTAAGCCCTGTGTTTTCCTCTGCCTGTTGTCGTGTTGTCCCATGTGTTGTGTGTTCCGTCATATTTTCCAGGTCCGAGCTTCTAGGTCCCAGGTTTCTAGTTTCCCAGTGTTTTGTTGTTAGTTTTCCATTTTAGGCTATGTTTTCTTATTTCTGGTATTTGAGTTTTGTCACAGCCTAATAAAAGCTGCCCCTTTTAGTTTACTTCTTTGTGTTCGTTAGTCCTGCATTTGGGTCCTCTTCCTGCCTGCTAGGGCTGTGCGATATGACCAAAATCTCATATCTTGATATAAGACATTTCTCATCCCAACAGCGATACATATCACAAAATAGTGCATTTTCTGTAAATTCTGTGACTCTTCTTGACTTGACTTGTGTGAAGTGTTTCCAGCTGGGCGTTGTGTACCTGGAGTCGAGTGTTTTGACCCATGCATGAAACTATATATTTTTAAGTTGTAACGGCTGCCATTTTCTTTGGGAGTATTTATTACATGGTGTGCTGTGGGAAAAAGCCTGTTCTAACATTTATAGTGGGGCAAAAAAGTATTTAGTCAGCCACCGATTGTGCAAGTTCCCCCACCTAAAATGATGACAGAGGTCAGTAATTTGCACCAGAGGTACACTTCAACTGTGAGAGACAGAATGTGAAAAAAAAATCCATGAACCCACATGGTAGGATTTGTAAAGAATTTATTCGTAAATCAGGGTGGAAAATAAGTATTTGGTCAATAACAAAAATACAACTCAATACTTTGTAACATAACCTTTGTTGGCAATAACAACGGGCAAACGTTTACTATAGGTCTTTACCAGGTTTGCACACACAGTAGCTGGTATTTTGGCCCATTCCTCCATGCAGATCTTCTCGAGAGCAGTGATGTTTTGGGGCTGTCGCCGAGCAACACGGACTTTCAACTCCCGCCACAGATTTTCTATGGGGTTGAGGTCTGGAGACTGGCTAGGCCACTCCAGGACTTTCAAATGCTTCTTACGGAGCCACTCCTTTGTTGCCCGGGTGGTGTGTTTTGGATCATTGTCATGTTGGAAGACCCAGCCTTGTTTCATCTTCAAAGTTCTCACTGATGGAAGGAGGTTTTGGCTCAAAATCTCACGATACATGGCCCCATTCATTCTGTCCTTAACACGGATCAGTCGTCCTGTCCCCTTGGCAGAAAAACAGCCCCATAGCATGATGTTTCCACCCCCATGCTTCACAGTAGGTATGGTGTTCTTGGGATGCAACTCAGTATTCTTCTTCCTCCAAACACGACGAGTTGAGTTTATACCAAAAGGTTCTACTTTGGTTTCATCTGACCACATGACATTCTCCCAATCCTCTGCTGTATCATCCATGTGCTCTCTGGCAAACTTCAGACGGGCCTGGACATGCACTGGCTTCAGCAGCGGAACACGTCTGGCACTGCGGGATTTGATTCCCTGCCGTTGTAGTGTGTTACTGATGGTGACCTTTGTTACTTTGGTCCCAGCTCTCTGCAGGTCATTCACCAGGTCCCCCCGTGTGGTTCTGGGATCTTTGCTCACCGTTCTCATGATCATTTTGACCCCACGGGATGAGATCTTGCGTGGAGCCCCAGATCGAGGGAGATTATCAGTGGTCTTGTATGTCTTCCATTTTCTGATGATTGCTCCCACAGTTGATTTTTTCACACCAAGCTGCTTGCCTATTGTAGATTCACTCTTCCCAGTCTGGTGCAGGTCTACAATACTTTTCCTGGTGTCCTTCGAAAGCTCTTTGGTCTTGGCCATGGCGGAGTTTGGAGTCTGACTGTTTGAGGCTGTGGACAGGTGTCTTTTATACAGATGATGAGTTCAAACAGGTGCCATTCATACAGGTAACGAGTGGGGGACAGAAAAGCTTCTTACAGAAGACGTTACAGGTCTGTGAGAGCCAGAGATTTTCCTTGTTTGAGGTGACCAAATACTTATTTTCCACCCTAATTTACGAATAAATTCTTTACAAATCCTACCATGTGGATTCATGGATTTTTTTTTCACATTCTGTCTCTCACAGTTGAAGTGTACCTCTGGTGCAAATTACTGACCTCTGTCATCATTTTAAGTGGGGGAACTTGCACAATCGGTGGCTGACTAAACACTTTTTTGCCCCACTGTAGGTCTAAGGTTTATTTTGAGCACTTGACGGCTCTTTTTTGCTTGCCATCCGTAAACTCTCTCCATACTCTTTCACATGATTCTTGCGTAGGTGGTAGAAGAGAACAAATTTATTGCTGTAAACAGTGTATTTTGTGACACCACAAAACAAACGATAGCGTATGATATGAAACAATAGATGTTTTAATTTCATCATCTGATATATTTCGTCATATTGCACAACCCTACTGCCTGCCACAGCAAGTTGCATGACAGGTTTAGATCTAAGTTGATAGAGAGAATAAGCCACAGTCCTACATGATAAAATCGGTCCTAACCTGATTTTCATTCACTGATTGAATCACAAGTTAGATCTGGTGGTCCATGACAATGTAAAACATATTACACTTATTTTCAGATTTTTTTGTGATTCTTACTTTCTTGTTTCGCTGTTGCTATCAGAAAGGTTGGGTCTCAGGCTTTTAATTTGAGGATGTACATTTGCTGCTACAGCTGTGTTCCAGTGACACCAATGAAGTCACTGTGGTGAGCTGTTTTTTTGTGAATGAAAAATTAATGAAACAACGAATAAAGGATCACTGAAGTTATTTTTGCTCCTGCTTAAAAAATAGGGAGTACGCGGTAAAGCAGGTCATCTACTAAGATGGTTCAGTCCCTGGCTTCTCCCACCTTCAGTCAGCATGCCTAAATATCCTTGGGCAAGACACTGAACTCCAAGTTGCTCCCCGAAGTGTTCAGAGTGTTAATATGTGTGAATGTTAGACACAAAGCACTTAAATTTAGAAAAAAGGTGCCTGTATGAATGGGTGTCAATGGGTGAATGAGGCATGTAGATAAAGCGCTTTCAGTACTAAAATTCACCAAATTCTCAATCTAATGAAAATTGTACATATGAATAGTTAGCAAACTATCAAGAAATACTTTACTGAGGTATTTCAAAAGTTCAACTATTGTGGTATCAGAGGAGAGAATATGTGCAAATTGTGGTTCTGGTGTCAACAACTGACTGCAGAGGAGGGTTCGTTACAATAAAACCATACTCTCACAGAGTAAAAATAGTATAAACATCTCTCCAGTGAAAATGTCTGCTGTTTGACCAAGTAGACCAAAGGTTGCCTCCATCCTTACTTGGAGATTAGCACTGGATTAAGGTGAAAGAGGGTTTTTTGTTTTTCTCTGTTTTTTCCATTTATTAAATAAAGTAATTAAATCTAATATTTGCTAAATCTGTATTAATAAGATGAATTCACCTTCTCTTGTTAAAAGTTCTTGTTTGATTGACAGGCACCTGTTGATGCGGTCATTTTTCTCTTTCTGGTAGATGGTCTCATAAATGAACTCCTTTTTACTGTGCTTGTAAACTGCATATTTGTAGGGAATGCTCTCTTGAATTTTTTCCTTGGGAATTTTAACACGTGTTTCAACAAGATATCCCTTATCTCCACGAGACCTATTAAACAGAAAGTTATTGTTAGAGATGGGACATACAGATGACAAATAATGTAATAATTCGATAAAAGCTAATATAGTTTCTATACTGGCAAAAATAGGAATATTTGATCACATCTAAATTCACTCTCGTTGGTTTCCGGTGGAGAATATATAAAACTATTGGTTTGCAACAGTTGTGGAAAAAACAAATAAACAAACAAAATACCTGGGGAACATTTCGATGTAAGCATCCCAGTTTCCTAACAGTGCTGCAGATTTTAACACAACAAAGTCTTTCTCTGGATCCAAATGAAAGTCATTAGAAACGACAACGTGAAAATATATAGATATTCCTTCACTGACTGATGAACTGGAATAAAAGGAAAGAAGCAAGTAAATAATTTCATGGTTAAAAATATTAACTCAAATATGTATATTCTACATCCTGTTACTTACTTTTGTGGTCTCTGATGGCCCACTTGGACATCACTATGATGGGGAGGGCAGGATGAAGTTGGTGGCCTAGAGCCAACTACATCTCTCTTGCCTCGTTGCTGTTCTTTTGCCAGATATGCACCTGTGTCCTTATTTGAGTTAGTGGAAGTAGCCTTATAAATGTAAAAAAAAAAATGTTAAAAACCCCCCAACAATAATTATTTCTTAATGTATGAATAAAATAAAAATAAAACTCCTTAAGTCCTTCTACTTATGAAAATTGATAAGTAATTAATATTACTTAAATTGGTTTCAGATTGGAAAAAAACATTTCATAAATGTTACAATTTAAAAATCTTTGTCCTCATGTTATAATTTTGCATTTTTGTATTAAATTCAGTTTGTCAATTAAAACTCTGTATTTGACTTCATAATACCTCACTGCTTTGATGATGTCCTTTGTTACTGGGCTATGATTTTTATATAATTTTTGTTGTTATAAAATTGAATATTTTCTCTTCATACTATGATTTTACATTTCTGAATAAAATTCAGTTTGTCAGTTAAAACTCTGTATTTCACTTCTGAATACCTCAGTGTTTTTGGTGGTGTCCTTTGTTACCGGCGTTGTGGAAACAGATAGGTTTGTTTCAGGTGTTGCCTTACTGCGTAATTCAGAGTCACTTTCAGCAGTCACAGCAAGATGTCCCTCTTTCTTATTACAAGACTCTATACCTTGAGGGAAAGCAGCTAATTTACTTTCTAGCTGTGTCTGCAGAAGGGATGTGGATCTGCTTCCATTTTCTGCTTCAACTTGGGTTGCAATGTTGTCTGGTGTTGTAGAATGCTCTCTGTCTGGCTGTGATTCAGCAGCAGCCAATTGTACCTAAAGAATAGCTACAGAGTTAGTTCACTAAATACCTATTAAAATTTTTAAGTATTTATTGAGATAGGGTTTCTCTGGAAGCAGAGCCTACACTGTTTTTGTAATTAATCCTAATAACATGTTATCTCTAATACACACAGAGTTGTGCCACTTTTTAGTTCAAACATGATGTTTGTCTTTGCAAACTCATAACTAAAGGGAACCAGTAAGTTAGTCCACTGTCTGAACAAGACAAACAGGACATTGTGGAAGCTGAACTTGAAGGTCCGGAGAAACTGGTTCTTGTATTTTTGAGACTTTTTTTTTTTTTACTGCAGTTGAAGTTGAAACAAGCAGACAAAACAATGTTTTACTTCCAGAAAGAAAAATCTGTGGTTTCCTGTTTAACTATTGCTAGATAAATATATTCCTTAATAAATGATTTGTTTTGTTATAAAATTCAATATTTTCTCCTCATACTATGGTTTTGCATTTCTGTATAAAATTCGGTTTTAGGTTAAAACTCTGTATTTGACTTCATAATACCTCAGTGTCTTTGCTGGTGTCCTTTGTTACTGGGCTGGGTCTTGAAGACTTCTCTGAATTTGTGGTATTTTGATCATCTGAATAACACGTCTCAACTCCTACTTGGTCTTTTTTCCTGTCAGCCTGTTTTGTGAACGTATTTTGATCTGTGTTCATGGAGTTTTTAGTATCAGCTGACTTCCGAGAGAGATTTTGAATCTCATGAGATGTTGTCTTGTTTGCATCTTGGTGTGGGGCAGGCTGTGTTGCTGCCTTGGCTTCTTTTAATATGTCCTCAGATGATTCAGGGACAGTAGACTCAGCTTCTTTGGTTATTGGGGAATCTTTGGAGTTAAATAAGGGTCCAGAATGAACATCACTTCGCTTGTCAGAAGGAATTTGATATGGATCCGGGGTGTCATCTTTGTCTATATCTGATGAATCCCTTGTTTGATGTGCTGGTATTTTACTGTGGGCAGATGTAGCGGAGGGTGTTGTTTTAGGAACAGACAGGTTTGTTTCAGGTGTTGCCCCACTGCACGAGTCAGAGTTAATTTCAGCAGCCACAGCATTTTGCTTCTGTTTCTCCTCACAAGCTGCTAGTTCACTGTCAAACTGTGTCTGGTGAAGAGATGAAGATGCACTCTCATTTTCCACTGTGGCTGGGTCTGCATTGCTATGTGATGATGCAGGACCTTTGCTGTCCAGCTCAGAAACATCAGTAGCCAACTGTCCCTGAAAAAAACTACACAGTTAGTTCAGGAAATACCATTTCAAATTGATAATTTCTAGAAGCAGAAATTAAACACTTTTTGTATTACTGTGCTATAAAAGGGTAGAGAGATGGGAGGCTAATGCAAACAGCAGAGACACATTTGAAGTTAACAAAAAGCAGGTCTTTAATGTGGCTTTTCATGTTACAACGTTAAAAAAGAACAGGTGGAAATAAGCACATGCTGTGTTGTGTGACAAAACAAAGCAAACAGTCAAATACAGGGTACAAAGACACAAACAATTTAATCAGGGGAAGAGAGGACACAGGGGTAATAAGACACAGCTGAAAGTAATCAGCGTAGACGAATAAAGCTCAAAGCAGGACACAAGAGACAAGAACTTGCAAAGTAATACAGGAAGTAACATAGAACTAAACACAGAAGCAAGAAACACACACTTAACACAATACAGGGGAACACTAGGGAAGGCAAGAATAACATGTAAATTCTAAACACTAACAGAAAGTAGCAAAAACTAAGGATTAAGGATCCTAAAAGACTAAACGTAATACTGAGTCAAAATAAAACCAATCAAAAAATGCCTACAAGTACATAACTCAAAAGAAATTCAAACAAAAGTCAAACTTATAACTCTGGAATGACTGTACAGTAATTAGAGTTAATCCAATTAGATCTTGGTACAATAAAATAACCATGGCAGAGGGAAAAAGAACCACCACCAATTACAATTATAAAATTCAGAAAACCCTTAAATAGGAGCAAACCTGGGTTCTTGTGCTCAAAGTACAAACACCAGTCAAAGCTAAACTTGGAAGGTTTGCAAAAGGATTTTCTTGTATTTTTAATAGGGTGTTTACTGCTCTAGATAATCTTGGTGTAAAACAGTATTTTTTATTTTTTTTTTACCTGTATTTGGGTGGTGTTTTCCTTTATACCTTTATCTTCTTTTGGAGCCTGGTCTTGATCTTCCTTTTGGTTTTTCTCCTCAGCAGTGGTTGAAATTGGATGTGCTGATGTGGCACCATCTGTTTAACAATTAATTTTATGTAAGTTTTATATATATCTATTCAGAGTGAACATGGCATTGGAGATGATCCAGTTTTTTTCCTTATTCATATGACCATGACCTTTGACCTATGACCACGAAGCATTACATTTTCAAATGCTATAATTTGTTATCTTTACCCAGTGATTAACTGAATCGAGCAAATTGGACTGATATCTTTGGCTTGTATAAGCTGTAAAACTTTTTAAGATTTTAAGATGTATTCCTGTGGTGTGTTATTTTGTGAAACTTTCTGGCATCATTGGGATGTCATAGGGTGTTGTACTGAAAAATAAAAGTGTCTTGTACAGCTCTCCATGCCCTATCGTATGATATATTACTTGATATGGTTTCTTGATTTTTTTTTCAGAGTCAATTTTGACAACAAGGAAAGTTAAGATCAAATGCTTGGCCAACCTAGGTCCTTTAAGACCTAGTATATTGCTGTGAAGTTGGAAGACAATCCATAAAAAATTGGGGGTATTATGAAGTTCTCACCAAATTTTAAATAATGAAAACTGTGGACGGTATACTGTTAACAAACAGACAAACAAACAAAACTGATTACATACACCCTCCCTTTGGGGGAAGACCAATGGAAATGACGATACTTGTGTTTTAGACGATTATCAGAACACTGTGTCATTTTCATTCTAGTTAAACATCCACCTACCGTACTGTTTTATGGTTGCAAATGAACTCCTTGAACTAGGGTTAATATAAGTTGTACTATTACAACAGGAAACTTACCTTGAGCCTTTTTTTGAGACAAAAGAAATAACTTGTTGCCACATTCAGGGCAGAATTTAAATGTCCTGTCCACTTGAGTTCCACATTCGGTGCAAAACATGATTGCCTGAAAAAAATAACATTATAAATGACAGAAACATTGTAATGCCCTTGAGCATCGTACGTATAATTCAAGCTCTTTCAAAAACTGTTTTACCAAACTGATTGATATCATCTTATCTTCTGTATGTTATAATAAGTTAAATAGGCGGCAGTGTTGAGGAATTTAAAACATTGAATCTGTGTTAACGTTGTTGTCCGTCAACAATTTACAGTGACATGATTTTAATGTCAGACTTTAAATACTGCTACACTGCACACATTATTGAAAATAATGCATTTCTATATTTTGACATATTCAATGTGATAACAGAAGATGTGAGTGTGTATATTTATTTAAACAGTCAATACATTTGCAAATCTTATAACGTTCAGGTTTTAGTGAAAGCATTGGAAATGTGTTACATATTATTTGTTGAAGTCATAGTCGAAGGTGTACTTTTGAGTACTATTGTAAAAGCCTGAGTAGTAAGAAATGTGTTTTGTTATCAACAATAGACTTTATATAGCTTACTGGGGTCACAGAGTTATTTTCACTTTCATTTACAGTAATGGTGGGGCTGATTCATAATTTTAACTTGCCTTTCTTATACTCAAAGCTTGATCCTTTTCTCTTTGCAAAAGAAATTAGAAATTGCTTTATAAAAAAAATATAGCTGCAAAAAAAATCTTGTACAGTGTTTTATTTTATGAAATTAATTTAGGCCATCTTGTATTATGTAGTAGCATTTAACAGTTAAAAATACTTATTTAGATTCATAATGTTTGTCTTTTTATCTTTAAATTACAATACAGGACATGGTGATTAGGGATATGCAGAAGTTAAGAAGGAAGTATACAGTTAGGTCAAATGCTGTTACAGATTACCAATTTATATTGTAATAAAAGATGAATAAAACACATCTGATAATATTTAGTATTACAGACACAATACTTGAACCTCGGGCATGTCCCAGTGCATTATTATTATCTGTAAGGATAGTTGTTAGATGTCCTACCGTGTTTGTTCTTCTTCCTTACATTGTCAGCAGTCAGCTCTGTGTGAGCATTGGTGCTAAAGAATATAGCTTAACCGTTCCCATATTTACTTTCATTTTCATTTACAGTGAAAGGTGTGGCTGTTTTTCAAATCATGCAATCGACAGATAAATAATCACACAGACTCAAAAGATCTGTCTTGACACTTTTTTCAGTCATACCCCCAAAATATTTTTGGGGTAATATTTTTTATCAGATATGACAAAAAAATAAAAATAAATAAATAAAAACAAACCCAGTCAACAGGAGTAGAGTTAGACTTAAGTTAAAGTTATTTAAACAACACCATATGCATTATTAAAATAATATGCATAGCAAGAAGAAAACGTAGCTTTATTGTTTGACACATTCAGTGTAGTAACAAAAAGTTTGTAGGGGTCCATGTAAGTTAACAGCGTGCCTAAGTGTCTAAGTGCTGCCTGCTAATAACACAGGAATTGCCAACTCACTCCTCTTCAGATATTCTACACCTTACAACCCACCCAAATACAAGGTGAATCCCACCTGCCAAATTATTTCATGTGGCCCACAGGAAGTTAAAAGCAATAAAATGACCATAGTTTGTGTGCAAAACTACATGTCCCACAATGAATCTTTTGCGTCCTACGTAATGACAACATCTGCCTCCCGATGGCAGTATTTCAACAGCAGTGCGTTTTAGAGCGGTTTTCTGTGGAAGCTTGTTTCCACCTCTGAATTTGAAGAAAGAAAAAAAAACAGACAAAGGAGAAAATCTTGCCACCCAGAAGCCAAAATTTCAGGTCAGTGTCTCAACGCTTTGATTTTAGTATCTCAAAATGTCAACTTACTAACTCAAACGTCTGAGAAAATAAGTCAAATAACTTTTGAGATACTAACCTGAAATTGGCTCTCTCCCAATCAGGAATTTTTTGTTTTGTTTTTTGTTTTTTTCCCCCAGTGGCAGAAACAATAGCTTCTATAGTTTTCAGTCAAGTCATTGAGTTTAAAAAAGAAAAAGGAATATCAGCAACACCAAAATGTTGATGCATTGGAAAAGTAATTTAAGACAGAGCAAATGCAAATGCTTGTTTGTGCTACAGGGAAACATGCTGGTATGTCTTCTTTGCTATGAGCCCATGCTGGTGCTTGGGGAATACAGTTCATGCCAGCACTTTGAAACCTTTAGTTTTACAAGCATAGATCCAAGTATGCTAATCTTAGGCATCAAGAAAATAAACAGAAGGCCCAAGAATTAAAATATAGTTTGCAATCTCAGCAGACTATGATAGCCAGAGCTTTAGTACAAAATGTTGCAGCACTGAACGCAAGTTTTATTGTAGTTGAAGAAATCAGAGCTCCTAAGCATTTTTTCTGAAGTGGTGATTTTGAAGTCAAGAAGACTGAGGGTCCTCAAGTCTACACTTCATAATTCACATAACTGATCAGCCTGTTTAACTTACCTAAAAGCCTGTTTTTGTTCAGGACACACCTGATTAAAAATAAACTTAACAATGTCAGCTTGTCAAGAAAAAATATGGCAAACTGTGGGAAGAAATATAGTTAGGAAACCTGACAACACAGCTTGCTAAGGAGGCATGTGGTATCTGTTTTGTTTTTTCATTAGGTGTTGCTTGTCTCTGTGCTTACATTCTACATGTATCCACAGCTTGTTCTGCTTATTGAACAAAAACAAACAGGTCAGATGTTAGAATGATTTAAATTTTTATTCAAGTAGACTGACAAAACTTACAGACAGCTGGTGTTTAGAATAGAGCTGAATAAAAGTTAAAAAAAACAACAACAACAACAACCATTTAATCTGAGCATCAGGAGCCCCACATGCAACATACAATAATTAAATAATTATTTCAAATATACTGGCAGCACTCCAGTGAGATAAGTTCAAAAACAAAGTTAAATAAAAGTATCCAGTGATATACCTAACTTCAATCTTAGCCAAACAAATTTGCTTAGGTAAACACTGAAACAAACCAGTTAGGTATCATCTCAGTTAATTATATTCCATGATTAACTTCCACTGAGTGGCGAAAGCCAGTGGTTTTGAAAATGTTATGCTGGGAGTAAACCTCACCTTCCTGGTCAGCAGACAGCTGGTGGAGCAAGCTGGCAGACCAGTGGGAATGGAGATCTGTCATTAGTTTCTTATTATTGTTTTCTTTCAGGTTTACCCCTTTTTCCATTGTGTGATCAGTAAACCTTTTTTCTACAAGCCACATGAGTGCACAGCAAAAGTATGGTTACATTAAGAGATTTGATTGGGCAATACACTGTCATGAAAATGATATGTAATGAAATGAAACTGAATGAATGGGCTGCCACCAGTGCTTGTACAGCCAGTGCATCACGGTATGCCAGATTACAATTCCAACCCTGTCTTAAAATATCTATCTGTATATCTAGTATATATAGAGTGTAAAAGACAAAAGCTGAAAAGTTAGGGGAAGAAGAAAGAAGAAATACAACAAAAGGTATTTTTTTCGTTCCTGTGTGTTTAAAGTAAACACACACACACACACACGCACACACACACACACACACACACACACAAACAAAGGTGTATAAACCAACCATATAATACCAATCTAAATCTTATATACAGAAAATATAGGGGATTACAGAAATGAAATGAATACCACAGAATATGCATTTATTACTGAGGTCATGGTTAAAAGTGGTGTTTGTACTGGCTGTTCCCTAATGCTGCTATAGAGGGAGTGAAACCTGAAGAAACCTGTTGTAAAGAATGTGACCAGACGACAATAACACTTTGCAAACCTAGCAGATTCGTCAACAGCTGATGTTATCTAAATAACTGGGTTCACAAACAGTACAGTAACAGGTACAGTGGGGCAAAAAAGTATTTAGTCAGCCACCGATTGCGCAAGTTCCCCCACCTAAAATGATGACAGAGGTCAGTAATTTGCACCAGAGGTACACTTCAACTGTGAGAGACAGAATGTGAAAAAAAAAATCCATGAATCCACATGGTAGGATTTGTAAAGAATTTATTCGTAAATCAGGGTGGAAAATAAGTATTTGGTCAATAACAAAAATACAACTCAATACTTTGTAACATAACCTTTGTTGGCAATAACAGAGGTCAAACGTTTACTATAGGTCTTTACCAGGTTTGCACACACAGTAGCTGGTATTTTGGCCCATTCCTCCATGCAGATCTTCTCGAGAGCAGTGATGTTTTGGGGCTGTCGCCGAGCAACACGGACTTTCAACTCCCGCCACAGATTTTCTATGGGGTTGAGGTCTGGAGACTGGCTAGGCCACTCCAGGACTTTCAAATGCTTCTTACGGAGCCACTCCTTTGTTGCCCGGGCGGTGTGTTTTGGATCATTGTCATGTTGGAAGACCCAGCCTCGTTTCATCTTCAAAGTTCTCACTGATGGAAGGAGGTTTTGGCTCAAAATCTCACGATACATGGCCCCATTCATTCTGTCCTTAACACGGATCAGTCGTCCTGTCCCCTTGGCAGAAAAACAGCCCCATAGCATGATGTTTCCACCCCCATGCTTCACAGTAGGTATGGTGTTCTTGGGATGCAACTCAGTATTCTTCTTCCTCCAAACACGACGAGTTGAGTTTATACCAAAAAGTTCTACTTTGGTTTCATCTGACCACATGACCTTCTCCCAATCCTCTGCTGTATCATCCATGTGCTCTCTGGCAAACTTCAGACGGGCCTGGACATGCACTGGCTTCAGCAGCGGAACACGTCTGGCACTGCGGGATTTGATTCCCTGCCGTTGTAGTGTGTTACTGATGGTGACCTTTGTTACTTTGGTCCCAGCTCTCTGCAGGTCATTCACCAGGTCCCCCCGTGTGGTTCTGGGATCTTTGCTCACCGTTCTCATGATCATTTTGACCCCACGGGATGAGATCTTGCGTGGAGCCCCAGATCGTGGGAGATTATCAGTGGTCTTGTATGTCTTCCATTTTCTGATGATTGCTCCCACAGTTGATTTTTTCACACCAAGCTGCTTGCCTATTGTAGATTCACTCTTCCCAGTCTGGTGCAGGTCTACAATACTTTTCCTGGTGTCCTTCGAAAGCTCTTTGGTCTTGGCCATGGTGGAGTTTGGAGTCTGACTGTTTGAGGCTGTGGACAGGTGTCTTTTATACAGATGATGAGTTCAAACAGGTGCCATTCATACAGGTAACGAGTGGGGGACAGAAAAGCTTCTTACAGAAGACGTTACAGGTCTGTGGGAGCCAGAGATTTTCCTTGTTTGAGGTGACCAAATACTTATTTTCCACCCTAATTTATGAATAAATTCTTTACAAATCCTACCATGTGGATTCATGGATTTTTTTTTCACATTCTGTCTCTCACAGTTGAAGTGTACCTCTGGTGCAAATTACTGACCTCTGTCATCATTTTAAGTGGGGGAACTTGCACAATCGGTGGCTGACTAAATACTTTTTTGCCCCACTGTACGTCTGCATTAAAACTTTTACTTCCCTTTTGTGTACACAAAAGTTTTTCCAGACTTTTCCCAAAGAAAGATTATTTGCAAATTAGTTTTTATTTATAGTTATATTCTGATGTTATGCAAATTTCTACCAAATCATTTAGGTTATCCTGCGTTATGTGTGTAGTAACACTGTAAATAAAATAAACAAAACAAAAAAAACCCCAAACAAACAAAAAGATTAATTTCAAGTAATTTTATATTACTCTGTTAATTATAACACATTACCAGATATACTGGAGACCCACTCAAATTTACTAGGAAGAGTAAAGTTAGATTATAAATTATATTATCATAAAATATAACTACAAAAACACCTTTGACTATGGCTAACCTCCTTTAATATTACAGAAACAACACTTGAATCTTGCACATAACCTAATGCACTATAGCCTGTAAGAATAATGATTGGATAACCTAGCATTTTTGCTCTTCTCCTTACATCGTTAACACTGTATAGCCAAAGTAATGACTGATTCTATAAAGTTAAGCTGTCACAGTTGAAGTAACAGGTTTGACTGCTTTGGCTTTTTCCACCCTACCTACTGAGAAAACCTATTATATTTACTCACACACAGCAAACAGCAGCTAACATTCACATTCGAGGAGCTGGGAAAAAGGAGTATCGTCCTTGTTAGTGAAATATTAATTTCATCATTTTAACTGCTAATTTATTGTCACCTGGA